TAATATGCAGGGTTTTCATCTGTGTTTAACGTGTCATTGATATATGATCAGAAGTCACCAAGTGGAAAACTAAGTTATTTTACCGACTGTCTCCAGGGAGAAAGATAGGCTTGCTAAATCAACAAATCCCTTATCCCATGAAGGTACCTGCTGATCTGTCTGGGTACCTTGGCAATGATCACTTCTAATAGTAAGATCAAAACTATGTTGCCTTTCTTTCTATTGTTTTTCTTTCTAAACATTACTATTGTGTCTGCCTCAGTTTCCCCTAGCACTGCCTACAGTTCCAAAATGAGGAAATCTTTGCCTCTGAGAAAATGTAATTATTCTTGATACAGACACAAACCAACTAGTACTGGATATTCAATTAGTAATTATTATTCTATAAATGCTATGTAAAACATCATTGCATATTTTATTGTATGTAGTGTTAGAGATCTATGGCATACCGTTAATGTATATTTTTCTGGTCATTAATGGGATGAAAGAGTGGAGTGTGCCCAGGAAAGAGTGGTGTGGTGCCTTTGGTTCACTAGGCTACACTCGTCAGGAAGACTGGGACAGTCAGGTGAAAATACTCCCAAGTGTCTGTTTGATTCAATGATTGAGAAAAGTACACAGGGTCGAGAGAGGCCTCAGACACTGAGGGAGATATCCCATAAATTTACCTAAGATTTTTTTTGAGGGGGGAAACAATGTAGAATTTCCCAAGCCCAGAAATAAAGGTCAAACAATTGCATCATTCTTTTCCAATACTATTTTAGAATTTATCAAGCCTCGCAGATTTGGTTAGGATATAAGAACAAGAGAGACTGTGAGAGCCACCACGCCATGTCACTAATCTAGTGACAGATGAGCCATTTCTCCATGTCCTTTTGCCCTTCAAACTTCAATATAACATGTGGACACAGAATCCTATAGTCAATTGGAATTCCAGATTATGGCTGTCAAATCTCCTGGAACAGATTGTATTTGCCTTCATGAATTAATCCGATTTCAGCACATGGAAACTGACTGATTCTGAACCAACTAGAAAGTCTTGCCTTTCAACTGCCATAGGACAGATTAAAAGTCAAAGGAAGTCATCTCCAATGAAACCATTAAGGGAAGATTTGCCACAAGGCACAATGGTAATGCTTGAACATTATGAAGTGCAAAAACTGCACAAACACATTATATTTGAAACACTTCATCCATTTAGCAAACTCTGTACAGTCTCCAGCTAAATAAGATAAATTGAGATTCAAGAAGCAGTGCCATACTGGCAAATCTCATCCTAAAGGCATCCATTAATATAAATCAACAGTAGCAATTTGGTTTGATCATTTATTTGCAAGAATCATTAAGGTTTATTAGCATAATTATTCCCTGTGGGATTTCATGTCGAGGAAATGAAAAATGACATTATCAATATGTAAAAGATAAGTGTGTGATGTTCAGAGCACTTAAACCATCATTTGCAGGTGGAGTCCAGCTGCAGGAAATTAGATTAGATTGGGGCATTTTTCTGAATGAAAGAGAAAAAAATGGCTTTGTTTTAATTGCTTCCTTTTATAAAGCAATACAATTTTTGGAAAGAATGTTCAGTCTAGAAACAAGTTGTACTATATACCTACTAACATTTTTTAGGTAAGGCCAACAACTCTGATATGGCCAGCCCTGTTGTGTTAGCACTTTTGGAAAACATTCATCAATATCTCATCCTTTATTATTAAGAAAATTTATTTCTCTTCTGTACTTTAGACCTTTAATAGATATCTCTAAGTAAAAAGCCATTTTCCAAAGGGAAATGAACCAAAGATTTCATGCTGGTGAAGGACACAAATCTCTTCTTAACAATAAGCACCATTTGTGACAAAAATAACTTTTGTAAAGTGCCATGCAATGGAATATTACTCAGTCGTAAAAAATAAATGAGCTATCTAACCACACACAAAAAAAAATTGGAAAGAACGTAAGAAATACGTATTGCTGTAGGAAGGAAGCCAGGCTGAAAAAGCTACCTACTCTATTATTTCAAATATATGACTGGAAAAAGCAGGAGTATAGAAGAGGTGGGAGCAAGGCCAAGGGTTCCCAAGGGTTTGAGACTGGAGAGGAAAGAAGGGATAAATTGATAGAGCATAGAGAATTTCTACTATACTGAAACTATTGCAGATGATACTGTAATGACAGATACATGACATTATGCATTTATCAAAACTTTAGAACTGAAGAGAACCAACAGCAGCAACCTATAATGTAAACCCCAGACTGCGATGTACAGCAGCAATAATTTAGGTCCTGCACTGATGTGTAAGGCAAATAATAGGGCAAACTGGGAGATAGAAGAATTCAGTGTATTCCAGTTTTCCTGTAAACTTTAATCTGTCCTAGATATCTATTAACTTTAAAAATAGAACTAACAGCTAGGCTTCTCTTTCCAAGATCCTTTCCTTGGAAAACCTACCTGTTCGATTGTCAAAATCCTTCTGTAATCCCCACAGATAGATTGGAAATAAGGAGCTATAACTCACATTCCCTTTAGAGTCAAAGCAAATGCTTTGCAATGCTACTGTTTTGTTATTAGGAGTTATTATTATTCATTGAATACATTACCGTAGACCTATTTCCCGTCTCCATTCTCACTACAGAGACTACATTCCTCCCAGCGCTCACCAGGGTCCTCCATAGGTCACTATCATAGATTGCTTTTGCACCTGCTCCTTGTTAGGATGCCATTACCTTAATAGGAGAGGCTTTTTTTTGCTAAGTCTACTTGTTCCTTTTGTCCATACCCATGCAAGCACTCTGCCCAAGAAGAACACCAGCTCTACCTGGTCAGAATCCTGTTGAATTGCTGGCTTTAGATTTGCTGCTTAGGTTTGCACTCATTCAATCCATGTCACACCTGTCCCTTAAAAATTCACCTTCTGTCTCACTGGCTCCATAGCTTCTGTCTGACCTGCCTGATTTTGTCCCTTTATTATATTGGTAAGCTTTATTATGTCCAGGCTAAACAAATATTGGTGAATCCAGATCATTAATGTAGTTAAACTGTCACTTATATTTATAGTATTCTGAAATATTAATTGCATGTTTCTAAGAAACAAATGGTATTGGTATATTTAACTGCCTGATAAAATGATAATCTTTATATTGGTGAGTTGAGGTACTTTGAATATTTGATTAATGAACTGTCTTTAAGTTCCAAATATTTCTTAACAAAAATATGTAGGTATGATTTAGATGTCTGTTGTGCAAGTAGTAACATTTCAGGAGAGAAGGTTGACTTGAATCTTTGCAAAATAATTTGTCAGCTGGTTGCTAGTAGATCATACCTGTAATCCTAGCTATTCAGGAGGCTGAGACTTGAGGCAGGAAAGTCTATGAGACTCTTAAAAACATTTACTACCAAAAATCTAGAAATGGAGCTATGGCTCAAGTAGTAGAGTGCCAACCTTGATAAAAAAAGAAAGTTCAGGGACAGCAACTAGGACCTGAACTTAAGCCATAAGACCAGCACACACACACACACACACACACACAACCATTTTTCATTTGGTTGCCAACAAATCAATTGGATCTTACTGCTTAAGAAAAATGAAGCCAGGCACCAGTGGCTCATGCCTGTAATTCTAGCTACTCACGAAGCTGAGATCTGAGGATGGAGGTTCAAAGCCAACCCAGGCAGGAAAGTCCATGAGACTCTTCTCTCCAATTAACCACCAGAAAACTGTAAAGCTATATGAAGTATCTTCTTTGATTGTTGTGAAATTAAAATAGAAGTAAAAAATATAAGGGGATAATCTGTTAAATTTGGAAAGTTAGTAAAAAACCCTTCTGAATAGCTCAAAGATGAAAGAAATTTGAACATTTAAAATGCATGTAAAAATACAAAATATCAAAATCTGCAAGGGGCAGCTAAAGCAGAACTGAGGGAAAATTGGAGTATTAGGTTTATAGATAAAATGGTCTTAACTCCCTTTCCCACTGAGTTGTTACAGGAAAGATAGAGGTGTCAGAAGTCAGATATGTTAGGCTCTGGTATCATACACTTCCTTTGGAAGTATAGAGGAGTCTGTAGAGATTCAATGTGTGTGTAAAGCTAGGGATCTCCTTCAGATTGTGCCCAGGTAGTTTCTCTCAAGCTAGTCCCCACTCAACCCATAACATTTTCTCAAAATCAACATTCAACTGCTCCCACGAGTTCAGACCTTCTGTTTTCTGCCAAGTAGATTTTTTGCCTGGTACTTTCTGGATTCTTTTTCTCCAGATCTCAGAGTGCTGCTGCTTTAGCTTTATTTAGCCTTTGTCCTCAATTCTACTATGGATCCAAAAACGTCATGGATTTTTTTTTTCCTGGTTATAAAGGATGTGAGAAAGCCGGGCGCTGGTGGCTCACGCCTGTAATCCTAGCTACTCAGGAGGCTGAGATCTGAGCATCGCGGTTCAAAGCCAGCCCGGGCAGGAGAGACCATGAGACTCCTATCTCCAATAAACCACCAGAAAACCGGAAGTGGCGCTGTAGCTCAAGTGGTAGAGCGCTCGCCTTGAGCTGAAGAGCTGAGGGACAGCGCCCAGGCCCCACGACCGACCAAAAAAAAAAAAAAAAAGGATGTGAGAGAAAAGAACTTTCAAAAACCAAATTTAATTTAGGCAAGATTTCTCAAGTGCATCATCTCCAAAATCAATCTGTCTGACTAATTTCTGGGATCCATTCTCTTTTGTTTTCTTTTTCTTTTTTTTTTGTGCCAATCCTGGGGCTTGAACTCAGGGCCTGGGCACTTGTCCCTGAGCTTCTTTTGCTCAAGGCTAGCACTCTACCACTCGAGCCACAATGCCACTTCCAGCCTTTTCTGTCTGTGGTGCTGAGGAATCGAACCCAGGGTTTCATGCATGCTAGGCAAGCGCTCTACCACTGAGCCACCCTCCCAGCCCTGGGATCCATTCTCGAGCTTAAATTTCTCCATTTAAAACGGACTGTACTGCCCATTACGCATCTGTTTCGCTCTCCCCAGGACGTGGACCGTGTGGTAGAGTAAGGTCCAGAAAGGGGTTTCTTTCACCGGTTACGCACAGTGCCTCAGCAAGGAGGGCCCAGGACCAGGGCTCCCAGCCATCAGCCCCTGCAGAACAGGCCTGGAGGATGCAGGACGCCAAGAATTCAACTCTTTCTTGGTAAACCGTTTCCACGGGGCTCACCATGGCTCCTAAGCCACAGGGTTTAGCAGCTGGGGTGTTGGGGGGAAGGGAGGGCGTTTACAGCCCGCCCAGGCCCGGGGCAGGCCACGCGGTGGGAACTTCCCGCCCGTCGAGCCTAGGCCTATGGAAGCAGCTGCTCTGCCTAGCCCCAAGGAAGTTCAGTGCCGATTGGATGTTGCGCCGTCCAATGGGAGGCGGCGTGCTTCACGGGTGCCGTTGCCAGGACACCGCGTAAACAGGAGCGGAGCGTTCGCGCGGTCGGCGGCAGCCATGGCGGCGGAGCTCCGGGCCAGGACTGTTTCTTCACCCAGGGTGAGCTGGGGCCGGGACTCCAAACCGTCCGTCCGCCTCGGAATGAGATTTGAAATGCCTGGTCCGAGATCTCAGCGGGAAACGGGCTTGTGTGTTCTTCTGAGGCTGGTTTGGGGACGCTGTGTTGGCCTTCCCATCGGAATCATAGGTCCTGTGGGGACCTGTGCGCAGGAGCGGAAACCCGAGCCCGGGAGAGCATTGTCCTGTGAACTCGGTGGATTTATTTTATGTTAGGAAACCTGACCTGTCCCCTGAGGACCTGGTGAGGTGAGGGTGGGAGGTGCAGGGAGGGGCACAGGCGCATTTCCAGAGTTGTCCCCAAAGGCCGGGTCTGCACAGATCTGCCTTTGTACTACTGCTGCTGACCACAAGCTGCTAAACCTTTGGTGTAGGTTTCACTTTGTGTGTTTGTGTAAATTGGGTTTGAACTTGGGTAAATTGGGTCCTTGCTAAGCTGGTGCACTACCATTTGAGCCACTCTAACTTAATTTTACTTTCCATGTCCCATCTATAAAACGGGAATTTTTAATATCTATTTAATTGACACATCAATATACTGATTTTTTTAATTAGGTATAGTCTGGGCTTAGAGAGCCCAAGAAAATTACCATTGCCTATTTTTGTATCATTTGTCATATTGAAGTATACATACTTTTGTTTTCCCATTCTAGGCCTCAAAGGAGCCCAAAAGAAAGTTGAGTTTTAGTGAAAGGCACCAGAAATTAGTAGATGAAAATTACTCCAGAATATCGAATATAGAAGCACTGAAAGTAATAGAGCGCCAAATCAAGAACCAGAAGGTGCAGAATGACAATGATGAGCGACTCGAGCACAAGAGATTCCTTCGAATCTTACAGAATGAACAGTTTGAGTTGGATATGGAAGAAGCCATCCAGAAAGTAAGTTTTAGTATTCATCGTTATATTTTCTTCATTTATTTATATCTTGAAATTAAAAAAAAAAACAACTGCTAATGGTGGAATTAAGTAAAGGGAGAACAGCTTCAGGTTAGGGAATGCCAGGATAGTGGCAGAGAACCAACTGGACTTGGGGCTAGCTGTCTGCCTTTGAATTGAGGGCTGCTAGATCTTAGCTGCAGAACCTGAGCTAGGTTGCTTTTATTTTTCATGTTTTATCTATAACACAAGTTGCCTGGTAAGCATTTTGGGGTGGGGGGTGTCAGTCCTGGGGCTAGAGCTCGATCAGAGCCTGGGTGCTTTCCCCTGCTGTTTTTGCTCAAGGCTAATGTTCTTTACCACTTGAGGCCACAGCTCCACTCTCACCAAAGGAAGTAAATTGGAGATGAGAATATCAAGAATTTTCCCTAGCTGGCTTCATACTGAAATCCTCAGATCTGAGCCTCCTGAGTAGTTATGATTACCCATATAACATTTAGATTTCTTTAACCATAAATATGAAATTCTTAATTGTTCCCCTCCACAGTTTTCACCGTATAAGGACAATCATGTTGTTTCTGAGGACAAAAATTTAAGGATGCCTTTTACTTACTGAAGTTAAACATGTAAAAACTATTAAATGACAGAACATGAGTGTTTATGTTTAAGCATAAGTTTATACATTTAAAAATTTTTGAAATATTGCCTTGGAGAATTCAAGCACTAGGTATTTGTGTACAGCTCCTGAAATAGTTTAAAAGGGAAACATTAAGAGCTGGGAAGGTGGCTCAGTAGTAGAGCGCTTACCTTGCATGCATGTAAGCCCTAAGTTCGATTCCTCAGTACCACATAAGCAGAAAAGGCCAGAAGTGGCTCTGTGGCTCAAGTAGTAGAGCCTTGAGCTGAAGAGCTGAGGGACAGCGCCCAGGCCCAGAGTTCAAGCCCAACGACTGACCCCCCTACCCCCAAAAAAAAAAAATTCTTTGGAGAGGAGGTCAACTTGGGGAAAGAAAGCATAGGCCTAATCAAAGCAAAAAAAAGAAAACACTTCAGGATCTGCTTGCTCAAAGTTCAAAGGTCATGCCTAAGCTCTAGGAATTTAAGGAACACAGAGGGATGAATACCACTTGAAAGCACTCCATCCTACAATGCTGGATGTACAAGTATATTCAGATACAAAATATAAGAATACTTTCTTCACATAAAAACTTATTTTTTATGAATCACACATAATTTTTTTTTGTCAGTTGTGGGGCTTGGAACCCTGGGCCTGGGCACTGTCTCTCAGCTCTTCAGCTCAAGGCTGGCGCTCTACCACTTGAGTAACAGAGCCACTTCTGTTTTTCTGGTGATTAATTGGATGTGAGTCTCACAAGCTGGGCACCGGTGGCTCACTCCTGTAATCCTAGCTACTTAGGAGGCTGAGATCTGAGGATCACAGTTCAAAGCCAGCCCAGGCAGGAAAGTCCGTGAAACTCTTATCTCCAATAAAACACTCTGAAAACTGGAAGTGGTGATGTGGCTCAAGCTGTAGAGCGCTTGCCTTGAGCAGAAGAGCTGAGGGACAGCGCCCAAGCCCTACGACCAACCAAAAAAAAAAAAAGAGTCTCACAAGCTGGGTGCTGGAGGCTCACACCTGTAATCCTAGCTACTCAGGAAGCCGAGATCTGAGGATCATGGTTCAAAGCCAGCCTGGGCAGGAAAGTTTGCCTTGCATGCATGAGGCCCTGGTTTCGATTCCTCAGCACCACATAAGCAAAAAGAAAAAAGCCGGAAGTGGCGCTGTGGCTCAAGTGGTAGAGCGCTAGCCTTGAGCTGAAGAGCCAAGGGACAGCGCCCAGGCCCAGAGTTCAGGCCCACAACTGGACCCAAAAAAAAAAAAAAGTCTCACAGACTTTCCTGCTCTGGCTAGCTTTGAACCTCTCAGCCTCCTGGTTAGCTAGGATTATAGGCATGAGCCACCAGTACCTGGCTTTTCCTTTTTTTTTTTTTTTTTAATCTTATGGTCTTTAATTTTAAAAGACAGTTCCATGATGAAAGGGGTGACATTCAGAATTTATTGTATTCATATATAACTTTGTTGGATAGCAACCACTTTGCATAACTAGTTAAAGATTAAAAAAAATGAAATTAAAAAAGAGAAAATTCCAGATATAACAGTATTCCATTCATACTTGAGTGTATACTTGATTATTCATCTAACAAAATATGGATGTTGGAAGTGGCACAAAGAGGCTCAGAGACAGTGCTCAGGCCTTGAGTCAAGCCCCCAGGACTGACAAAAGAGAAAAAAAAGGGGGGGAGATATTTCCTTCCGTGGAATGCCATAATGTCACCATCTTGCCAAAAAAAAAAAATCTGCTTTAGAACCTAGCAAGGTTCACACAGCATACTTGTTTACTGCTAAGGCTCTCTAAAGCAAAAATAGCCCTGCCTTCACGCTTTGCTATACTACATGTTTATAACTTGTTGAAATAAATTAGGCTAGTTGTTTTACACAATATCCTACAATCTGTCTTTTCCTATTTGCTTCCTTGTGGGTCCTTTTATTTGTGCCTTTTTCCTTTATATTTCCTTTAAAGGGAAATTAGTTCTAAGACATGATTGGATTCAGTTGCAGGTCTTTCTGCGAACATCTTACAGATGATTCTGCCCATGCCTTGGCTCCCTTCTGGAGGTGCATGGAGTACAAGGGTTCCTCTACTTTCAGGGACACCAGTGTTGATCACAGAGTTCCGTGGGACAGCGTGGCTCCTTCATTCTAACAGATCCTGCCAAGCATTCACCTGGGCTTATATCCAGAGTCAGCCTGGGTGCTGTCTCTGAGCTCTTTTGCTAAGGGCTAGCTCTTTACCAGTTTGAGCCACAGCGCCACTTCTAGTTTTCTGGTGTCTTATTAGAGCTACGAGTCGTACAGACTTCCTTGCCCAGGCTGGCTTTGAACTGCTATCCTCAGATATCAGCCTCCTGAGTAGCTAGGATTACAGGTGTGAACCTCCAGCAGTTTCTGCAGGTCAGAAAAATCTAAGCATGGTATATGTAGATAGCCTCCCAAGGCTGAGATTGAGGTGTTAGCTGGGATGCATTTTGATTTGATGTTAGAGGACAAACACTTCTCATTTTTATTCAGGCAGAAGAAAACAGGAGGATACGGGAACTGCAGCTTGAACAAGAAGAGAAACTGGCTCAGGAACTGGCAAAACTGAAACATGAGAGCTTGAAGGATGAGAAAATGCGGCAGCAAGTGAGAGAGAGCAGGTATCTTGGTTTCTGTTAATTCTGCTTGCCTTGTACTTACTGTGAAACTTTCATGGGTTTCTTTATTCTTTTCCTTATTTTTGTGCCATACCAGGGCTTGAACTTGGAGCCTTGTGTTCTCAACTTTGTTCATGGCTAGTGCTCTAGCACTGGAGCCATGCCTCCCACCTAGCATTTTTGCTGGTCACATGGAGATAGAATGTCACAGATGTGTCTCCCTGGGCCGGGTTTAAAATACTCAGATCTCAGACTCCTGAGTAGCTAGGATTACAGATGTCAGCCACTCGCACCTAAGTCCATCCAAAAGTTTTAATTTGAGGAAACAAATTGCATTCATGGAAGATACAGTATAAACATTTACAGTGACAACAAAACATCAGACTGTCTGTCCTCTAAGCATAAATTGGAATTGACCTTTTATTATAAAATAGATTTGTAGAATCCTAAAGTCGATTTCCTAATGCTGTGCTGGAGAGCCATGTCACACTGTTGATAGAAACTTAGTGCCAACAGAATGTCTGTCCTGTATTTGTGTGGTTGAACATACTGGCAATTTACCTTGACATCTATTGCATTTTATCGGAATTGTATAGCACTTCTATGGAATAGTCAGGAACCCTTCTGAGCCTTAGTAGTTATTTATTTGTTTAACAAATAAACCAGCTCGATTGTTTAAGGGATTATTAGTCCCTATTGTAAGAAATTAAAATTACCCTCAATATCTGTATATTGTCTCAGGCTGTCTCTTTGGATTCCATTCTCCAATCATGGTTTGCTATCACTCCTGGCTTTTTATCCTCTGAGGATGAAAAAAAATATTTTCTCATGTCTTTGTCTAATTCATTGATAGAGTTAAACAGAGTGCCAGTGCTCTCATTTGCCTTGCTTGCTCAGCTGCATTCTACTACTTGAACCATGCTTCCAGCCTGGCTTTTAGATGGTTATTTTGGAGATGACATCTCAAAGACTTTTCTGTTGACTTTGAAGTTGTATTCTTCAGGTCACAGCTTCTTGAGGAGCCAGAATTGCAGGTGTGAGCCCCTAGCTGAGCTTTCTGCTCTAGCATTGTAGACTAGGTGACTGAGATATATATTTCAAGAGTAAAACATCTGGAGATATAAAAATAAGAACTAGGAACAGCTGGCCACCAGTGGCTCACACTTATAATCCTGGTACTTAGGAGGCTGAGATCTGAGGATCGCGGTTCAAAGTTAGACCAAGCAGGAAAGTCCATGAGACTTTTATCTCCAATAAAACACTCAAAAAAGCCAGAAATTGTGTTGTGGCTCAAGTGGAAGAGTGCCCGCCTTGAGCTCGGGGACAGCACCCAGGCCCAGAGTTCAAGCCCCAGAACTGGCCAAAAAAAAAAAAAGACCGGGGTTGGGAAGGTGGCTCAGTGGTAGAGCGCTTGCCTTGCATGCCTGAGGCCCTGGGTTCAATTCCTCAGTACCATATAAGCAAAAGGAAAAAAGCTGGAAGTGGCCCTGTGGCTCAAGTGGTAGAGCATTAGCCTTGAGCTGAAGAGCTGAGGGACAATGCCCAGGCCCAGAGTTCAGGCCCCACGACCGGACCCAAAAAAAAAAAAGACCAATCCTCAAGCATATACAGCTTAAATCCATGAAACATAATGAACTTCCTTCTTTTATGATACAGGTTGTATACTGTCTTTGAGAAAATAAAAATTATGGTCAACTTTCTAGGAGGTTTAATTCTCTTACCATCAATTTTAACTTCATATTTTTCCCTCAGTCTTGAGCTCAGAGAACTGGAGATGAAATTAAAAGCGGCTTATATGAATAAAGAGAGGGCAGCCCAGATTGTGGAGAGGGACGCCATGAAATATGAGGAAATGGTAATGCGATTTCAGTCTTTTTTTTTATTCTTGTAGCTTCCTTTTTTGATCTTGAGATTTTTAGATCTTTATCACACACCATCAGTGACTGCCTATGAAACACGTTCACCTGACTGTCAAAGCCTCCAGGGCCCCAGTAACTCCCAGGCTGCTCTATGCTAACTTCTTATTTTTTAACAAACCAATATAGTGTAATAATTAGCATGATGATGTTATTTTAGAATGTTAAGATTTTTACATTTTTTTATTTTAAATTTTGTGTGCCAGTCCTGGGGCTTGAACCTGGAGTCTGGGTGCTGTCTCAGCTTTTACACTCAAGGCTGGTGCTTGACCACTTAACCACAGCTCTAGTTTCCAGCTTTTTGTTGATAAGTTGGGGATAAAGAGTCTCATGGACTTGCCTGCCTGCACTGGCTTTAAACTGCAGTCCTCAGATCTCGGCCTCCTGAGTAGCTAGGATTGACTTTAAGTTGTAAACTACCAGAATTCCAATGTTACTAACTAACTTGAACTTAGACTCGATCTCCCTTCCCAGTATGACGTCCTCAAAGTTTTGGATTACAGCACAGCTCCAAGGGTCCGATTTCTTGCTCATCCCTTCCAGACCCAACATTTGATCTCATAGCCAGAGGAAAGCATTTTTGTCCTGTCACAGACTCTGATCTCTTCAGATGCAAAATGTAAATTTTGCAAATGCAAAAATGCCTTTTGCTTAAATATCAGAAACGTGATGCCGAAATAGGGAGAACCATGAAGGAGGAATACGAGCGGGCACTGGCGGAGGAGAGCGCCGCCGAGGACAGACGGAACAAAGAAAAGGCTCAGTACCAGTTTGAGCTGGAGAAGCAGCTGGAAGAACAGGAAAGGAAAAAGCAAGCCGCTTATGAGCAGTTGCTGAAGGAAAAACTCATGATTGATGAGATCATGAGGAAGATCTGTGAAGAAGATGAGCTGTAAGTTCCTGACTTGACCTTGGTCTTGGGTGTGCTGTAAAGGTTAGTGCGTGGCAGGTGTGCTGCGTGGGGGCCAGGCACATGCACAGAGCCCAGCTCCTCCTCTTCATCCCATGTGATAATGGGCAAGTGCTGTTAAGTGACTGACTTGGTTTTACTAAAGGTAAACCATATTACAGGCTGGAGGACAGGTTGTCTATGAATTTCCCTTGGGACACTTGGAGTGTCACGAGGTTGTGGTCTTTAGTCTTTCCGTAATGAGAGGCTGAAAACTTCAGCAGGTTAGAGATCTGTAGGATTTTCCCAGAGAAAACCCAGGGATCACATGATGTGTAGCAGCACATAGTACTTATTCAAAATGAGAATTGCATTAATAAATGACTAGACTATCGATTGGAAAGATGTTTTTCCCCCAGTATTTGTTGAAATTTATTTTTCTACTTTATTATTTGTATTAACTGTGAAACTATAACCCCTATTATTTTTTTAAGGGAAAAGCAACACAAGTTAGAAAAAATGAATGCAACCCGTAAGTATATTGAAGAGTTTCAGAAAGAGCAGACTCTCTGGAAAAATAAGAAACGTGAGGAGATGGAAGAAGAAAACAAAAAAATCATAGAGTTTGTTGAGATACAGCAGCAGAGAGAAAAAGAGCGAATTGCAAAAATTCAAGAGTATGAGAAGAAAAGGCTACATCTTCAGAAACAGGTATTAAGATAACCAGCTCTGCCTGTAATCCTAGCTACTCAGGCTAACATTTGAGGATTGTGGTTTAAAACCAGCCCGGGCAGGGAAGTCCATAAGACTCTCCATTTAATAAGCAAAAAGGCAAAATTGGAGCTGTGGCTCAAAAGTGGTAGAGTGCCAGCCTTGAGCAAAAGAAGCTATGTTCAAGCCCCAGGACACTCTCTGTCTCTGCATCTGTCTCTCTCTCTCTCTCTCTCTCTCCCTCCCCCACTCCCCCTTTCTCTCTCTCTCACTCACACACACACACACACACACAAACTATAACCATTTTTGTAGGAGCTTTGAAATTCTGAAATATCTCTCTAATTTGAGCTCTATAATTTTTTTTTAATAGGCAGCTCAGAAATTGGAAGAAGTGTTGCAGCAACGTGACGATTTGGAACAAGTGCGTCAAGAGCTATACCAGGAAGAGTGGGCCGAGATGTGCACGAGGAAGCTCAAAGTAAGTTTCAGAGATTGGGGGATGAGCACCAAGACAAGGATGTAAGTTTGAGCCAGACTCTGGCGACTCACCCTGTCTGTAATCCTAGCTACTCAGGAGGCTAAAATCTGAGGGTTGAGGTTCAAAGTCAGTTCAGGCAGGAAAACCCTTGAAAGTCTTATCTCCAATTAACCACAAAAAAAGCTGGAAATGGAACTACAGCCCAGGTGGTAGAGCAGTATCTTTGAGCAAAAAGCTCAGGGACAGCACTCAGTCCCTGAGTTCAAGCCCCAGTATCAGCACAGAAATAAATGTAAATTACTGTGAACCCAGTACTAAAAAAGAAAAAAAAAAGTATGTCCCCTGGAAGTTTGTTTTCAGATCAGGCATGTACATACATGTGAAATAAAATCAAGTGATGGAAAAATTAAATGCTCTATAGCTACAAGGCTGGAAAGAGGTGAAGTGAGATTGGAAAGGAGCTGGGGGCAGTGATGAACTTGCACACTGAATATAGAAACCTCTCATTTTCTAACATAAGATCTTACCTTATAAACTATGCTGGCCTTGAGCTCAATAGATAGCTGAAGCTGGCCTGAAACCCAAAGTCTTCCTCCCTTAGCCAAGGTTATAGGCATGTACTACCACACCCAGCCTCTCCTACTCTTCCCTTAGAAATGCAATGCAAGGAAATGGTAACTTTTTTGCTTAGGAGGAAGCAGAAGATAAACTGAGAAAGCAAAAAGAGTTGAAGCAAGATTTTGAAGACCAAATGGCACTGAGAGAACTTGTACTACAAGCCGCAAAAGAAGAAGAGGAGAGCTTCAGAAAAGCCATGCTAGCGAAGCTCGCCGAGGATGACCGCATAGAACTGATGAATGTTCAGAAGCAGAGGATGAAGCAGCTGGAACACAAGCGGGCAGTGGAGAAACTGATTGAGGAGCGGCGCAAACAGTTCATTGCAGACAAGGTCAGAGGTTGGGGGTGGGGGGGGGTTCCCTTAACAGCAGCCGGCTGCACTGTTCATTCATCACTCCACGTCAGACTAGGAGAGACATGGTTATCTTCTACCTCCACAGAGGAGGGAGAAGACATAAGGCTATGACTAGTAGGAACTACTATGCATTCCATCTTTAATGAATGGGTAATATTAGTAGTTAATTGCAGGTAAGAGTCTCCCAGGGACTTTTCTGCCTAGGCTGGTTTCAAACCTTGATCCTCAGATCTCAGTTTCCTGAGTTGCTAGGATTATAGGCCTCAGCTCCTGGTGTGTGGCAGGAACCAGGACAAGGAGAGACCTTTGTGGTGACACAGCTCATCCTCACCCTGTCCAGTCCTCCTAGACTTGAACACTGCTTTTTACAGTTCAGAGATAGTTCTAAGTACCTACTCACAATTCTGTCTTCCTCTAAACATTTGTAGACAAAAATATTCTGAAAACCACCAGAGGATCATTTCCTACCATCAGAGCTCTGGAGCATCTGTCCCAAATAGCAGATTGTTTCCATACTTTCCTAAACCATTTACACTAAATCCGGATAATTTTCTTGATAAAACGGTTTTACTATGTCCTAAGAAGGGAAATCCTATATTGTGACCCACTGGAAGACTGCATCATTGGGCAAAAATCTATTGCCTTTGCTTTTCTTACAAAGTTAGGAAACTTTCTTCTTTGATCCTTTTATAAGGAGTGATGAGCCAGTTAGGGTTAGGTGTGGTTGGAAGGCGAGGATCAAGTCAGCCATGGCTTCGGTGGTCTCATGCTCTCTTGAATGACAGTCTAGATGGAGATAGGAGGTTTGAGGCTGGAGTGGAGGCCGCACTCCCCAGTGTTCAGCATTGCAGGCCCTGTCTAGCTTTTCACCATAACCCTGGTGGGGGCAGCTCTCCTCAGCCTCATGTTTTAAGCAGCAAAGAGAAGACATCATAAAAGGTACCCGAAAACACTCCCAGAAGACACCATACGACACTCATGCCTGTGGAAGCCTTAGAATTGTGCTCTCAAGAAATAGGTGAGGTAGAACAATTTCATGGTAGATTTTGCTACCTTGCTTCCTCTTAGAGATGACCAGGAGGAGCTTAACCCTTGATTCAAGAACTGGTGGTGAGTGTTTTTCTCCGTGGGCACACTTCTCTTGTTGTCCAACCCATCTAATTCTATGGTCAACAAAAATACTCACATGAGGAGTTCTGCTTTTAAGGGGCACTGGAGATGGCTGTTGCATCTATTTGTTTTTCCAACAACTTGGAGGGGTTGGCTATCTAACAAGCTTGTTTGGATATCATTTCCCAAGTCCCTCTAAGTCCTAAAACCTTAGGCTAAGTCCTGACATTTGCAGTTTATGGCATAGTTTTGACAAGGTTAGCTACAAGTGTTGAGAATCTTTTCTGAGAAATTTGAGTTCTCATGCTAGAACGTTTGCTTGTGTGAGACTATTTAATGGCTCTTCCCTCTTTGATTCTTTTCTTTTGGTTACACTGAGAACTGTAGCACCTGGCATATGGTGAGCATTCCATACATGCTTCATGAATTTATTAGGCACTCCTTTGAATACTTCTTCAATACGAAGACCTAGAAGTTCAGTCATAAGGGTTGGGATGTGCTCGTTAGCATGCACAAGGCCCTAGCACCTCAAAAAACAAAACATTCCACCCATAACTACTATTGTTGTAACTTTCACCTTTTATATATGGATGTAAAATGTATTTACATGGAACACAATGTATGAGATAAACACTAGTATATTTTGAACCATCAACTTTTTAGCATCTTTTCTTTTTTAAAACTTGACGAGCAGTCAGTGGATCTCGTGACAGCTAACGCATGCGTTTCTCATGCAGCAACGTGAACTGGAGGAGTGGCAGCTGCAGCAGAAGCAGCAAGGCTACATCAACACCATCATTGAAGAAGAAAGGCTGAAACTTCTCAAAGAGCACGCTGCCAAGTTACTGGGCTATCTCCCTAAGGTCAGTGAGTCAGCTAGAGGTGCAGTCTTTGGGACCACTAGCACAGAAGTAAACGTGGCCGCTGAGGACAAGGAGGTCACCTGCTGGTGGCCCTGTCTGCAGCAGCAAGCAGCAGGGCAAATCCTCATCAGGTGTTGAGCCCTGGGTCCCTTTAAATAAACATCTCCCAAATGGAGCTGCTTGTGACACCCAGAGGTACATGGGAGCTACGTACTTGTACTGGGGAGGTTCTCCTCCTCTTCCTGTTAGCACAGGAGACCTAAAAGCACACCACGCTAGAGCATTTGCAGTGCTCTGTGTGGAAGCGTTGTGATCAGTGACACCAGGGCTGGGTATAGGTGAGAAGTGCTCGGGAGTAATTAGGTGCTAGTAGATAGCCTCAGTTGTTTAAAAAAAAACAAAACTCCAGAAGAGTGACATTTCATATAGACTTGAGACCCACTGTGACTATTTAAAATGAGTTTCACACCGGGCACTGGTGGCTCATGCCCATAAATCCTAGCTACTTAGGGGCCTGAGATCTGAGGAGTGGGTTCAAATTCAGCCTGGGCAGGAAAGTCTATTAACTACCAGAAAACCAGAAATGGCGTTGTGGCTCAAAGAGCGCTAACCTTGGGTAAAAGAGCTCAGGGACAGTGTGTATTTTGGATTTCTATTACTGGAGTATTCTGAGTATTGCCTGGCCACAGGACCTTAGTCTTATGGTTACATATAATACAAAGCAATGTACTAACGATAAGATCCATGTGTGATTGGTAGATTAAAATAGGTTCTGAGAGTTTCCTTGTGCTCCAGTGTTTTTGTGGAGGAAATAACTGGGAAGAAAAAGAAGGACTTAACAAACTTCAAGTCCCCAAATGACCTTGAGCCTTTAGATCCCAGTGGCCCCAAATGACCTTGATTATCCATTAAGTCCTTTAGGCTGCAAGGTAAATACTTGATTTTGTTTGAAAGAGTCTTTTGCCATATACTGTATGAGAAAGAAAAAGCAGGCTTTTTTTTTTTTGGTCAGTCGTGGTGCTTGAACTCTGGGGTTGGCCGCTGTCCCTGCGCTCTTCAGCTCAAGGCGAGCGCTCTACCACTTGAGCCACAGCACCACTTGGGTTTTCTAGTGGCTTATTGGAGATAAGAGTCTCACGGACTTTCCTGTCCAGGCTGGCTTGAACCGAGATCCTCAGATCTCAGCCTCCTGAGTAGCTAGGATTACAGGCATTTGAAATGCATCACTCCAAGCGTGGAGTGAGGAACATAGCCAAGTGCAGCCTCTTCCCCTTGCCTCCCTCCCAGCATGTGGCAGAGCTATCCTAACGGAGGGCCAAAGGTACATTGCATTTCCTTCCAGGCAACTGAAGCTCCAAGCAGAAGAGCACCAATCCCTATGACACATTTCTACCCTGGAGCTGGTCAGTTAGGAAACTCGGTCAGCCTGAGAGAATGCCATACATGTAGCAAGTCGTAATTTTTGGGAAATTAACCAGTGTTTCCTATTGAATAGATTGCATGTTAACTTTATGAACATGTTAAAACGCATTTAGTAAAATGTTCTGGCACTTAAAAGCATTTTTCTTGTAGGGAGTATTTAAAAAAGAGGAGGATCTCGACCTGCTTGGAGAAGAGTTCAGGAAAACATATAAGACAATGAGTCAATTCCATGCAGCAAACTGACGCTGGCCAAATGTGGTAAAATATAGTTCTGTGTGCTACCACTAGGTGGCAGTGTAAGCTGTGTTACAGTTTAGTACTGTGCAGATCAATGGAATATCTTGCTCTGTTTCCTAATTCCTAAACCATTTTGAGATAAAAATTAAATTTATTTTGTTTGTAAAGTTACTTTGTTACTATTATACTGATAACCTGAAGATCGGGACTCTAAGCTATGGATAGTAGAGTCCTAGTCTGCCTTCCTCTTCTAGAATATACAGTATTTCCAAGTATAGTTTATAAGAAAGAGTCAAAATTAAATTCTTGCTGTTTTATAACATGTTTTTTTTTATTAATTATTATCACAGTAATAGAGCAGTTTTGTTTCCCTACTTCTAAATAGGGAATTCCACAATCAAATATTTTCATTACTTAGGAATAGTAAAGATGATTCAAACCCCAATATAGCTTAATTTAAATACCTCACATACCCTAATTGAAAGGGGTCACTTAGGAATTTCCCCATTCAAGTGCTTTCATAAATTCCTCTTCAGTGAAAGATAGCATCTTGGCAGCTTCAATATGCATCTGTTTTTTTAAAAAATGAATATATGGATTAATATGTAGAGTATAAGAAATAACTGATAGTAGCAAAATTCAAGGTTATAGGACCATTCTAATTCCAACAAGCACAATATTTAAAATGGTAAATACATTTAAGGACTAGCCTAGAAAATTTCTAGTATCAGCAGTACTGTTCAAAGAGTAGTTCGGTATTCCCGTGTCTGGCCTTGGTAAAAGGTAAACTTTGGCCGGTCTTTGGTGGCTCACGCCTGTAATACTAACTACTCAGGAGGCTGAGATCTGAGGATCTCGGTTCAAAGCCAGCACAGGCAAAAAAAGTCCGTGAGACTTTTATGTCCAATAAACCACCAGAAAACTAGAAGTGGGGCTGTGACTCAAGTGGCAGAGCGCTAGCCTTGAGCTGAAGAGCTGAGGGACAGCACCCAGGCCCAGAGTTCAAGCCCCAGGATTGACCAAAAAAAAAAAGTAAACTTTGATCCTAAGGACTGAAAATTCAAATAGTATCCCTACTAGACAGCCTTGTACATGGCGCAGCGGGAAGAACCCCTGGGAGTCGAGTCTCCCATGTTTAGGTAACTCCTCAGCCCACTATAAATACAATACATCTCACAGGACACTCTGATTTACACAAATATTACATGTAAGATTATCCAACTATTAGTCATACTTTAAAATGTAGTTTAACTAGCCGGGCACTGGTGGCTCACGCCTGTAATCCTAGCTACTCAGGAGGCTGAGATCTGAGGATCGCAGTTCAAAGCCAGCCCGGGCAGGAGAGACTGTGAGACTCCGATCTCCAATAAACCACCAGAAAACCGGAAGTGGCGCTGTAGCTCAAGTGGTAGAGCGCTCGCCTTGAGCAGAAGAGCTGAGGGACAGCGCCTAGGCCCAGAGTTCAAGCCCCACAACCGACAAAAAATAAAATAAAATGTAGTTTAACTTCCATTTTATGATAGACTCACCTTCTGCCTTTTCAAAACATCAATTAATTTTAGTTGTTTCTTAAATCCTATCATTAATTCTCCTTTTTGTTTTTCTAGTTTCTTGTTTTCTGATTTTAACACTTCAATTTTTTTGAGTTCTTCATTGGCTACATCCTATAGAGGAAAAAAATCACATCTTAACTGAAATGTAGAAGGTTCCTATATATACAAACTACATTATATATGTTAGCATTTTTGTGTGGCTTGTGGTACCTGGACTGAACACAGGGCCTCAAGCTCTTGCTTGGTTTTCCTATTATTCATAGCTGGTGCTCTACCACTTGAGCCATGCCTCCAGTCAGCTTTTTGTTAATTGGAGGAGTCTCAAACTTAGATAAGATTACAAATGTAAGCCACCAGTGCCTGGCTATAAATGATAGCTTTTAATTATGGTGAGGTGCCTGCCATTGAAAAAGATGTTTAAAAACTCCATTCTGATTCCCATAATGATAAAATAACTTGCATTAGACTAATTTCATAAACTTAGGGTCCAATATTTAAGATCTATTTTAAGGCATAGATAACATTAGTGATACTAAGCAGAACCTGGAAGTACAATCGAGATCCTCACAAAAACCAAGGCATATTAGTTGTGATCCACATTTAACTAGCTTTTCCCTGGGTTACTCTTCAATTCAGACTCAGCAGACAGCAGGGTCCTCCCCCTGCAGCTGAAGCATGAAAAGTTAAGTCCTCAAAACCCTCATGCATGCCACTGGCATCTGCATAAAGAACACTAAGAGGTTGGGATGGTGAACTCTATAAACAGCTGAGGAGAGAATTTATGCACTGCTCTAATTTGGACAAGGCAAGAAAAGGCTCATTCAGCTGCACAGAAGTTCAGTGGAAGTTCAGTGCAACTCTGCACCTAAAGGCTTTCATGCAGAAGGAGCATACCTGAATTTACACTTGAACATGTAGGAAAAAGGAACAAAGGAAACAGAAATAGTTGGTTCTTAGAGTGATGTTAGCAAGGTGCAGATGAGGAAGGTGCAAGCCTGGTATTTCCCGCTCATGTGCGGAACAGACGCAAGCTGCTCTGAGACTCTGGAAAGCAGTCGGGCGGCCACCCGCCAGGGGAATGGGAAGCAAGCCAGCGCCACCCTCACAGCAGGCAGAGGTGCCATGGTGCTGCTCCACACTTCCCCACCCCAGGGCACACCAGGCCACCAATTCTCCTCCTCTGGGAGGGAGGGAGACCAGAGGAACTCACTTGCCGCATTCTGGGCTGCCACAGCCCTGCCTCTCACAGCGTCGTGGGGCCATGGTGGGGACACAAGCATCAGGCAGGCAGTAGGAATTATGCACTACAGGAAGTCCTGAGAAGACACAGGCTTCCACAAGTACTTCCAAAACTTGAAAATGTACAACAAAAGTCTGTCAAGCTGGGAGCCAGTGGCGCATGCCTCCTAGCTACACAGGAGGCTGAGATCTGAGGATCACGGTTCAAGACCAGCCCAGGTAGGAAAGTCAGTGAGACTCTTATCTCCAATTAACCACCAGAAAACCAGAAGTGGCACTGTGGTAGAGCACTAGCCTGAGCTGAAGAGCTGAGGGACAGCACCCAAGCCCAGAGTTCAAACCCAACCACTCGGGCTGGGAAGGCCCTAGGTTCAATTCCTCAGCACTACATAAGCAGAAAAAAGCCGGAAGTGGCGCTGTGGCGCAAGTGGTAGGGCATCAGTCTTGAGCTGAAGAGCTGAGGAACAACACCCAGGCCCAGGGGAATCTCTGCCAGCTATTTACATCAGATAAAATGATTCACATCCAGATATCAGCACCAAAAGGACATTCCAATTTTATATGGGCAAAGTGAACAGTTCTCAGAAGACACCAATAGCCAGTAAATAGAGAAATGCAGTGTCCAAGAATCTTAGCTATAAAGGAAATCATATCAAACAACACTAAAGGCCGGGCACTGGTCACTCATGCCTGTAATCCCAGTACTCAGGAGACAGAGATGTGAGAATCGCAGTTCAAAGTCAGCCCAGGCAGCAAAGTCTGTGAGTCACATAGCTCCATTAAACTACTTAGAGAAAGCTGGAAGTGCACTGTGGTTCAAGTTGTAGAGTACTGGCTTGAGCCAAAGAAGCTCAGAGACAGTGCCCAGCACCGGGGGATAGACGCCAAGATTCCATTCCACTCTTGTCAGAACGGCGGCCATCATAATCTTTTCTTTTTTTATATTTTAAAAAAAGAAACAATTCCTGGTGAGGATGGGGCGAGCAAAAGAATCGTAAACACTGCTGATGGAAATATAAACCAGTGCAACTGGTATGAAAATCAGTATCAGAAGCTCCAAGGGCGGGCCCGGTACCCTGCATGTCAGCAAACCCTCCATGCGATCCTGCATATGCACAAGTTAAAGATTGGCAGCCCTGCAAAGCAGACCTTCATTCTATCCACTGGGAAGCTGAGGCTTTCAGACAGCTGATTTGAGATACATGGAACACTTTTTTTTACTGCTTATACAGAGTTCAGCCAAGTTCCAGCACCTACAAGATCCAGACCCCCTACATTCTTTTTTTTGTTTTAGGAGGGGAGGTCCGGTCGTGGGGCCTGAACTCTGGGTCTGGGCGCTGTCCCTCAGCTCTTCAGCTCAAGGCGAGCGCTCTACCACTTGAGCCACAGCACCACTTCCGGCTTTTTTCTTTTTGCTTATGTGGTGCTGAGGAATTGAACCCAGGGCCTCATGCATGCAAGGCAAGCGCTCTACCACTGAGCCACCTTCCCAGCCCCCCCTACATTCTTTTGAATGAAGAAATAAATGAACCCTCCCATAGTTGGCCTGTCACCCAGTTATCTAATAGTCGAAGTATATAATGTCGATGTGTGGGAAATGTACATGATCTTAACAAAAACGTCTTTTGAAAAGAGAAATGTGCATCATGACATGAACTCTTTTAGATGTTTGCATAAAAGAAGTTACCAATGGTGAGCACTATCCCAAGTCTGCACACCTTGTGATTCTGCCTTAATTTACTCAGCTCCAGTTTGTACTTCTCCACGTCTTCCAGGGCTCGGTTCAAGCGAACCTCCGTGGCACTTTGACTAGTTGCAGCCTGTTTTTGTAGTCGCCTTTTATTTTCTAAATCCTATGGAGTAAAAAAACTGCTGTATTTAAATGTCCTAAGTTCCTTTCCTTACATTTTGCATTTTTCATTTCTAAATTATTTGATTTCTCTCAAATTTTACACATGTATGCACACACACGCACACACACACACACACACCCCTCACACTGAGCTAGGAACCCAGGGGTTCTTGTCCCTGATTTTAAAAAAAAAAAAAAGGGTTTATAAATTGGCCTTTTTTTTTTTTTGGTGCCAAAGGCAGGGCTTGAAGTCAGGGCCTGGGAGCTGTCCCTGGGCTTTTTTTTTTTTTTCCTCAAGATTAGCATTCTACCACTTAAGCCACAGCTCTGCTTTGAGCTTTTTGCATAGGTTATTGGAGATAAGAGTCTCACAGTCTTTCCTGCCTGGGCTGGCTTTGAATCCTGATCCTCAGATCTCAGCCTCCTGAGTAGCTAGCATGAGCCAGGGGCGCCCAGCCCATTCTTGATATCCTCTATAGCCTAAGGTCTGGTTCTGAGCCTTATACAAAGCCGGTTCTCAGCCAATACTGTAGATATGAAATACACTTAAAAATAGACTTGTCTGCGCTTTTCTCTAAATTATTTTTTTCCTGGCTGTATCCCCACATCGTCTTTGAGTACAGATTTATATGGCTCGAATAATTAAGAGGGAAAAGAAAACAAAACAACAAAACACATGCTGCTCTTCCTGTGCGTTTCTAAACAGATCAAGCTGTGCGCGGCCGCCATCTGCCACGGCAGGCTCTGCACAGCTCGTGGGGAGCGCACGCAACGCAGCTCACCATGCCCATGACAAAAGCAAATCCACCCAGGAGCTGGGCAGTCCACGGCTGGCGCCACCTCGCTTTGCCTTCTGTCACTAGAATATGCAAGTGACTAGAACTCCATCACCACGTGACATGGTCCTCTCTGAACCCATGATGCCAGCTACTGGGAAGCAGGACAAAGGGAAGCAGCAAAGAAAGTTCTGCGTGAGAAAGTCCACGGGAGAAAGGAAACACCCTGTCTAAGCTGTGAACCTTTTTCAAAAAATATTTACTGTTACTATAAAGGTGATGTACAAGCTGGGTGTCAGTGACTCAAGCCTGTAATGCTAGCTACTCAAGAGGCTGGTTCAAAGCCAGCCCAGGCAGGAAAGTCAGTGAGACTATTATCTCCAATAAACCACCAGAAAACTGTAAGTGGCGCTGTGGCTCAAGTGGTAGAGCTCTAGCCTTGAGCTGAAGAGCGCAGGGGACAGCGCAGAGATCAAGTCCCACGACTCACGAAGAAAAACTTTTTTTAAATGATGATGTACAGAGGGATTACAGTAACACGAGTCAGGTAATGAATCCATTTCCTTTCATACAGTGTCTTCCCTCACTCTCTTCTAGTCCTTTTTTTTTTTTTTGTCAGTTATAGGGCTTGAGCTCCAGTCCTGGGCGCTGTCCCTCAGCTCTTCAGCTCAAGGCAAGTGCTCTACCACTTGAGCCACAGAGCATTTTTGGTTTTCTGGAGATAAAGGTTTTATTGGAGATGAGTCTCAAGGACTTTCCTGCCTGGGCTGGCTTTGAACCGTGATCCCCTACCTCAGCCTCCTGAGTAGCTAGAATTATAGGTGTGAGCCACTAGCACCTGGCGAAAATAGTCACTTAAGAAAATCTACTATGAGCTGGGAATTGTGTTAGAGTGCTTGCCCTAGCATGTGTGAAGCCCTGGGTTTTATTCCTCAGTACCACATAAACAAGGCCGGAAGTGGCGCTGTGGATCAAGTGGTAGAGTACTAATCTTGAGCAAAAGAAGCTAAAGAAAGTGTCCAGGTCCTGAGTTCAAGCCCCCAGGACTGGCAGAAAGAAAGAGAGAGAGAGAGAAAGAAGGGAGGAGAAAGAAAATCTTAAGTTAAACAAGCTAGTTGGGCACCGGTGGCTCACACCTGTAATCCTAGCTACAGAGGAGGCTGAGATCTGAGGATCACAGTTCAAAGCCAGCCCAGGCAGAAAAGTCCATGAGACTCTTATCTCCAATAAACCACCAGGAAACTGGAAGTGGTACTGTGGCTCAAGTGGTGTAGAGCATTAGCCTTGAGCTAAAGAACTGAGGGACAGCACTCAGGCCCCACGATCAACAAAAAAAGTTTTATGAAAATTCTCAGCGGAAGTGGTGCTGTGGCTCAAGTGGTAGAGCACTATCCTTGAGCAAAAAAAGCTCAGGAACAGTGCCGAGGCTCCAAGTTCAAACCTAACTACCAGCTCCCACAAACTATACAAACCTAAAAGTCTCAAGTCCTACAATTTACATTACTTGTGAATGAAGCTAAAAAGCATTGAAAACAAATCAGATCCAACTTTAAAACTCAAATACTATGAGCTTCAAAAGAAAACAATTTACCCTCTTCTCAAAATTACAGCATCCAGAAAATGCCCGGGGACAGGAACACATAGGGGCATGCAGCAACCACAGCACAAGGCAAAATGCAGTCAGCAAGCGCGCCATGCTAATCCAGATGAGGAAACATCAGGTGTGGATAAGTTCACGATGGGAAGTTTATGAAACAAGAGGCAAAGGTTTAAAAAAAATGAGGAGGGGGAGGGTGGCCAGGCTTGATGACAGCGCCCAGGCCCCGAGTTCAAGCCCCACAACAGACAATAAATAAATAAAAATAAAATATAAAGAATCTACCCTTGCTGAGTGCTGGTGGCTCAAGCCTATAATCCTAGCTACTCTGGAGGCTGAGATCCGAGGATCACGGTTCAAAGCCAGCCCGGGCAGGAAAGTCCGTGAAACTCCAATAAACCACCAGAAAACTGGAAGAGGTGCTGTAGCTCAAGTGGTAGAGCACTAGCCTTGAGCTGAAGAGCTGAGGGACAGCGCTGAGGACCAGAGTTCAAGCCCCACGACCGACAAAAAAAATAAATAAATAAAAATCTACCCTTAACACCTTTACAGAAGCATTTCAAAGTGGTTTCATTGAACCCTGAACAAAGGACAAAAGGAGGAGGAAATTAATTACTCAGCTGGGATAAAAGAATGTACTGGCCAGCATGCTCTGCTAGTGTAGAATAAAAAATGGTGCAGCACATTTAGAAAACAGAAGTTCCTTAGAAAGCCAAACACAGGATTACTATCTGACTTGCCATTACTTTAGATATATAATTAGAAATGAAAAGATGTCCACATTTGTCCATATTTAACAGTTAAAATATTCATAGCAGCGTTTTCAAAATAGCTAAATGGTAAAAACAAATATACAAGATAAATGTGTTGGGGTAGGTGGTGTAGCTCAGTGGTTGAGCACTTGCTCAACCTAGACTGAACCTAAGTTCAGTCTCCAGCACATAAATAAATAGTATGATAACCATATCATGGGATATACTTTCAATAAAAATAAAATACTATTGCCAGGCACCGATGGCTCACGCCTATAATCCTAGCTGCTCAGGAGGCTGAGATCTGAGGATCTCAGTTCAAAGCCAGCCTGGGCAGGAAAGTCCGTGAGACTCTTCTCTCCAATAAAGCACTAGAAAACCGGAAGTGGCGCTGTGGCTCAAGCAGTAGAGTGCTCACCTTGAGATGAAGAGCTGAGGGACAGCGCCCAAGCCCAGAGTTCAAGCCCCATGACTGACCTAAATAAATAAAATACTGCCAGGCACTGTCAGCTTATAATCCTAGCTACTCAAAAGGCTGAGCTCTGAGGATCACAGTTCAAAGCCAACCTGGGCAGGAAAGTCTGTGAGACTATCTCCAATTCACCAGAAAACTGGAATGAAACTATGGTTCAAACTGGTAGAGCACCAGCCTTGGACATGACAGACAAAAACAAAATACTGATTAATGAAGCTATGCTGATGAGTGTTACAACACAGACAGACCTTAAAAGCATGTCATCTGGTGCCAAGGGCTCACGCCTGTAATCCTAGCTACTGAGGAGGCTGAGATCTGAGGATTTCGCTTGGTTCAAAGCCAGCCTGGGCAGGAAAGTTCACACATAGACCATGATAATGACAGTTTGCCTTGTTCAGGTTAAAATGTGACTTTAAGTATCACTATCCCACAAATTTGTGAAATTTATGTAATCATTTAATATCAATAAAAAATTATTTAAAAATGAAAACATATGTATTAAAAACATGAAAAGAATTCCTATTTGTAGTGACACTAAAGTAAAGCTGTGTTTTTACAACATAAACAAAAAGTCCACGAGACTCTTATCTCCAATTAAGCACCAAAAAACCAGAAGTGGCGCTGTGACTCAAGTGGTAGAGCGCTCGCCTTGAGCTGAAGAGCTGAGGGACAGCGCCCAGGCCCAGAGTTCAGGCCCCACAACTGACCAAAACAAAAAAGCATGTCAAAAGCAGTCAGTCAAAAAAAAAGATCACAACATGGATAAGTCAGTGTGTAAGAAACTACCAAAACAGATAACAACTATTGAGACAGAAAATCGAGTAGCAGCCCCTAGAGGCTAGAAGGGACTGTGAGGGCAGAGCTGAGCTGGGCGTGGCGGCGAGAGGGTGGGGCATCTCTTTGAGGCCATCCTGGTTATAGTTTTCTATAACACACTAAATGAACTGTAGGCTTTAACCAGATGAAGCGTGAATTCTCAATACAGTTGTTAAAAATACTGCCCCTGAAGGGTGCCAGAGGCTCATACCTTTCTTTACTCCTAGCTACTCAAGAGGCTGAGATCTGAGGATCTTGGTTCAAAGCCAGCTTAGTCAGGGAAGTCTGTGAGACTCTTATTCCCAATTAACCGCCAGAAAGCCAGAAGTGGATCACTAGCCTAGAGCACAAAAGCTCAGGGACAGTGCCTAGACCCCGAGTAAACCCCACCCCCTGTATATGTAAGTAAGGGGAGAGAGAGTTCTCAGTAAACACTAACAACTAAATAATGAAACAATGACACAAACATGGCTTGAACAGCTTCTGAACTTCTTTGAATGAAGGTGTAAAATGATAACCTTTTCTACGGCCAGCAGCTGCTGTTGCAGCCCATCACATCTTGCGTTTGCTTCTTCAAAAAGATTTTTGTATTTTTCTATTTGGGACAGTTGCGCAGTGATTGTTCGCTGCTTTCTCGAGCAATCTTCTTCAAAACTTTTCACTTGTGACTTTAAATCATGAATTTCATCCTCCTATAGATTATGTGAAAATTGCAAAAGATTTGTATCAAAACAGAACAGTGAACAAAAAAGCTTCATATATTTCTTAGTAAGATATTTATACCTGTTTAACAAATAAAAATATAAAAATAGAAGATATTTCATGTTTAGTTGCTTACCTTTTTGATAAGTTTCTAAAAATTTTTTATTCTGTCCATCAGTTTAATATATATGTAACAAGTTTCATGTAAAGTTTACAAATTCTTGACCTCTAATAATGCAACCTCTCAGAATAAAGTTCAGTACCTATATACAATTTCTAAACTGTGGATTATATCTGAACATGGCTACCTTTTAAAAATGTAATTGAAATTGTCTCTCAGAAGTCTCTGAATTATAAAGCATGTCTAATGAGATATTTTTAAAACTTACCTTTTTATTGCATTCGCATACAACTTTATCCAATTCCTCCTGCATAACATTGAGTTTGGCCTTTAGAAATCTGATCTGTGTCTCTGTGGAGTCAATGATTATACTTATTATCGCAATCAAAACAGACCATATTTTATGAGGAGGAAATGCTCAAAATTGGGACTCTTATTAGGCGTTCCATGGTAAGGAATACAAAAGACATTAAATATCCGTAATGTAAGTGAGAAATACGTATAGTTGGCTAAAAATAGCAAGGAACTGTGTCGGTGGAACTGAGTGAAAAGAGGAAGGGACAATGAGTGGCCACGTTTGGTGGACTGCATTCATCCTTAGCACGATGCTACAGAACACATCAAACAGAACGCGCAGTGATCCCCGAGAGGAAATGTCCCCAAACACAAATCCTTCTTCTCTAGCAAAACCCAGCTTCGGATCCCAAAGGAATCTGCTCCCAATTTCCTCTAGATCTTTCCATCCCTACCATAATCCAGTCCTACCGAGCAAGCTTGTAGGGTAGGATTAGGGCAGGACAGCAGAGGGGAGACGCTGAGGGCGGAAGAGAGCCTCAGCGGAGGAGCAGTGCCGGGCGTGCGGCACTGCTTTCTCTGGGTCCTGGTTCTCTGTATGGGAAAGCAGGGCCATGGGGACTGTGCACTTAGAGCAATCAGCACCTGGAAGACACCTGAACAGAGACCAAAGGCAAATGACTTGGTCTTTCGCTCCTCCTCCCTCCCCCCATTTCCTAAATGCAATGAACAAATAAATGAACTACTAAACAAAATCATATGCAACTCAAAACTCTTCAGAGTTTTTTTTCACAATATGAGAGATTGTTTAAAGACAAAATCATGCAGCTCTAACATGGGTCTGACTGAGAAGCGACAAGTGGCTTGCCTGACGTCACAATGATTTGTTCCGCACAGTAACTTAGTATAGAAACATGCTCAATTGTTTCAATAACATTGGTGACTCCCCTTAAATTCAACTATCTTAGAAGCATTACTGGTAATTATGTCATGCTTTTAGAGACAGTTTGAAATCGTACATTTTTTTCCTAGTGATGAGTGAATGAGAAGAAAAATTAAATTTGTTAGGAAGCTCACCTGGTTATTGTACCTGATGCTATAACAGGTACGCTCCTCCTTTTCCATATACTGATGTGCAGTAGGCAAGATATAATAAAAATAAAATTCAGAGACACTGTTTTTGTATTAATGCTAAGCCATAGGTTGCCGGGGGGGGGGGGGGGGGGGGGTGTCTTTGAGACAGGGTCTCACCATGTAGTCCAGACCAGCCTGGAACTCACGAGCCTCTGGCTCAGTCTCCAGGTTACTGGGGTTACAGGCATACACTCTCAGGCCCAGCTGCTAGTGCACATTTTAATTTTACCTCAAAACTATTTGATAAACACAAAAAAATTGTGTTGCCTTAACTTTTACACTTTATAATAGAGAATATCAAATGTATATGCAATAATAGAAAGGTTCAATCAATCCCCACTTGGTCACTACCTATCTTCAATAAGTACTGATCATGGCTTATCTTTTTTGTGTGTGTTGGTCCTGAGGCTTGGGCACTGTCAGAGCTCTACCACTTAAGCCACAGCTCCACTTCCAGCTTTTTGGTAGTTTATTAGAAATAAGAGTCTCATGTACTTTCCTGCCCCGCACTGGCTTCGAACTGCAATCCCCAGATCTCAACTTGCTGAGTAGCTAGGATCACAGGTGGGAGCCACTGGCGCCTGGTCATCAAGGCCTCTTTTATTTCATCTAGAACCCTGTTCATCCCGCAAATCACCACATTACGATTAGAGTATGAGATTTCTTTGAAACAAAACTCACCTGTCCCTATACCTGTATTCATGCTGGAGAAAATGTCATCATCTGTGTGCTCAGGGAAGCCTTCCTCCAGCTGTCCTTCAATTTTGCTAATTGTCTTTGCAAGGGAAAAGTCTGAGCAATCCTCTGGCAGGGCAACATCGCTGGCTGTCTGCACGCTAGTGTACCTCCAAAAGGTAGAAAGAGATGCTATGACTTTAAATAACACAGACAAAATTAGTGCAAATTTGAAACATAATGAAATCTACAATTGATACTTTCAAGGGCTACATTATAAGAGACTTAGTAGCCAGGCGCTGGTGGCTCACACCTGTAATCTTAGCTATTCAGAAGGCTGAGATCTGAGGATCACAGTTCAAGGAGAACCCATGGAAAGAGAAATCCGAGACTATTATCTCCACTTAAGCAGCAAAAGCTTTGGCTCAAGTGGTCGAGCACCAGTATTGAGTGAAAAAGCTAAAGGGTAGCATAAGGCCCTGAGTTCAAGCCTCAGTACTGGCACATACACACAGAACAAAATATAGGCTTAGGAGATTTTCTGAATCACACACCACAGAGCTGGAGAAGGCTTTGTGAGGTTAAGTGGTCTAGAACTTTCCTCTTAACTCATGAACATCAAAACTAAGGACTGACCTTGGTCTCCTACATCATATCTAGCTGCTGGACAGTATCTGTAAAAACTGGCCAGAATTCTGCACACAACCGAGAGTAATAACCTTACTAAACAACTACAGAGCAAATAGTCACCAGCTTAATGAAACTCAGCATTTTTTCCCATCTAGGGGAACACATTCTAAGGTGGATCAGATTATTTTGTTGCTGTTCAGTAGAGAAAGAAATATGAAATCAGTCATTTCCAAAGGTACTGAAGAAAATCACAATGATTCTATAATTCCAAAAGCCTTTTTCTTTTTTCGGTGCCAATACTGAAGCTTGAACTCAGGACCTGGGCACTGTCCCTGAGCTGCTTTTGCTGAAGGCTAGCACTCTACCACTTGAACCATAGCTCCACTTCCAGCTTTTTGTAGTTAACTGGAGGCAAGAGTCTCATGGACTTTCCTGCTCAGGCTGGCTTTGAACTGAAATCTGATCCTCAGATTTCAGCCTCCTGAGTAGCTTGGCTTACAGGCATGGCCACCAATGCTCAGTTACCTATTTTCAACACATAAAGCTTCAGTCCATGGCTGGGAATGTGGGCTAGTGGTAGAATGCTTGTGTAGCAGGCATGAAGCCCTGGATTTGATTCTCAGTACCACATACACAGAAAAAAGCCAGAAGTGGCACTGTGGCTCAGGTGGTAAAGTGCTAGTCTTGAGCAGAAACAGCTCAGGGACAGTGCCCAGGCCCTGAGTTCAAGATCCATGACCAACAAAAAAAAAAAAGGAAAAAAGATTCAGTCCAAAGGTATACTCTGAATAACTAATGAACTGCCTAAAAAAAACATGAATATCAGGAAGCAGAAACATATTTGGGGGGGAGAACAATGGGGAAACACTTGAATGGAGGGAGGATGAGCAAATTATATTCACTGTAAAAATCTGTAAAAATTGAATGGAATCACTTGAGAATAGGGAAAGGGGCAGAACAATGGAAGGGGTGACAATGACCAAGATGCATTATACTCAGAACCTCATTTAGGGATTGTAACCTCTTTATACAACTACTTAATCTAAAAAAGAAAAATAAAAAGCTTCAGAATTCTGAGCTGGGAAGGTGGCTCAGTGGTAGAGCGCTTGCCTTGCATGCCTGAGGCCCTGGGTTCATTTCCTCAGCACCACATAAGCAAAAACAAAAAAGCCAGAAGTGGTGCTGAGGCTCAAGTGGTAGAGCGCTAGCCTTGAGCTGAAGAGCTGAGGGACAGCGCCCAGGCCCAGAGTTCAGGCCCCACGACTGGACCCAAAAAAAAAACAAAAAACTTCAGAATTCTACTTAGAATAACCCTATTTTCCTTAAAAAGTAAATGTGAAGTCAGGAAACAAGGTAACTTGTTTCCAGTGATGCACATAGTTTTCCATCGAATTTATATTATTTCTCTTCCTATCACTTCACTCACTTTTCTTCCTTTTTATTTAAAAAAAAGTTGTTTTTAGCAATTAAAAGACACAAAAATTTCCCAGAATCATACATTTTTATCTTCAGAAACAGACATGTCCATTTAATAACTTCCTGACAAGCAATAGGTGGCTGGTTGGTACAGTCCAGGCTTCTTCCTCTTCTAGAAACTTCCCTATCCTTGACAGCCTTTTAGATCCCCCTCACTTTTTTTTTTTTTTTTTTTTTTTTGGCAAGTCCTGGGGTTTGAACTCAAGGCCTACATGCTATCCCTGGGCCTCTTTGTGCACAAGGCTAGCACTTCACCAGTTGAGTCACAGTGCCACTTCTGGCTTTTTCTGAGTAGTTTATTGTAGGTAAGAGTCTCACAAGTCGGGCCCTAGTGGCTCAGGCCTGTAATCCTAGCTACTGAGGAGGCTGAGATCTGAGAATCACGGTTCAAAGGCAGCCTGGGCAGGATAGCCTGTGAGACTTTTATCTCCAATTAACCACCAGAAAACCAGAAGTGGCGCTGTGCCTCAAGTGGTAGTGCACTAGCCTTGAGCTGAAGAGGCCCAGGCTCAGAGTTCAAGCCCCACAACTGACAAAAAAAAAAAAAAAAATGAATAAAGAGTCTCACAGACTTTCTTGCCTGGTCTGGCTTTGAACTTCGATCCTCAAATATCAGCCTCCTGAGTAGCTAGGATTACAGGCGTGACAGCACCCAGCTGGATCCTCTTTTATGCTTAAAGTAATAACGGACTTGAATTTGATCTCACCAAAAACAGTTGAATGTAAATTATAGTTACAATGTAGTCTGAGAGTATGCCAATCATTCTTACCTTACCGTTATACAGTAATGTATGCCAGTGTGTTAAATACTCAAGAAATAGACTAGACTACTTGAGAGAACCAGGCCGAGTGCTCAGAGCTAAGAAAGTGTCTTGCTTAAAATAACAAACAGAAGCCGGGCCCCAGTGGCTCCTGCTTGGAATCCTAGCTATGTGGGAGGCTGAGATCAGAAAGATTTTGGTTTGCAACCAGCCTGGTGAGAAAAAGTTCACCAAACTCCTCAACCCATAGTCTGGGTGCAGTAGTGTGTGCCTGTCAGCCCAGCCTACACAGGATGGGAAGGCGGAGGTTCCAGGCCAGCCTGGGGAAGAAAAGTCCTTCAGGCTGGAGCTCCACAGAGGGAAGCTGGACCTGGTCAGTGCATGCCTGTGAACCTAGCAACGAAGGGAAGTCTAAAAGTAATAGGATCATAGCTCAGGCATGACACCCTATCCTAAAAATAACAAGCTAGGTGCCTCGGGCTCACACCTGAGGATCCAGGTTCAAAGCTATAGCCCAGGCAGGAACGTCTGTGAGACTCGTATCTCCAATTAACCATCAAAAAGTTGGAAGTGGAGCTGTGGCTGGCTCAAGTAGAAGAAGGCTAGCCTTGAGCAAAAAAAGTTCAGGGACAGCATCGGGCCCTAAGTTCATACCCTAGCACTGGCACCAAAAAAAAAAAAAGGTGGGGGGGGGAGACATGGTTCCAGTATTAGAACACCATCATAGCAAATGTAAGGGCCCTTAACCTAAACCCTGGTATTACCAAAATAATAAATGAATACAAGACCCACAGCTGCAATCCTACTCAGAAGGCTGAGATCTGAGAATCGTGTTTCAAAGCCAGCCTGGCCTGAAAAACCATGAAACTCTTCTACAAAAAAAAAAAAAGAAAGAAAGAAAGAAAGGAAAAACCAGAACGGAGCTGTGGCTCAAGAGGTATAGCGCCCCAGCCTTGAGCACGAAAGTTCAGAGCCAGTGGTCAGGCCCCGAGGTCAAGCCCCAAGACAGGCATAGAAAAATTTTTTGGAGTACAATGATTTTGCACAGGAGAATATCACAAAATGTTCATTAACTATTGTAAAAACTTCTCAAAGTAGAAATGGTTTAAATTCCTGGTTGTGGACCAGGTATATATTGTATGCCTTATTACTAAAGGTATAAAAACTCATAATTAAGAATAAAGAGTACTGAGAATTATAAAACTAAAAATGAAAGTCATACTTCCTGAACTATACAATACCTTGAATTTGTTTGTCTTCCTTTTTTTCCAGAGTGCAGTTTGTTTTGAACCTTGTTTATAGGAACAATGTTTTTGGCCTTTGGCTACATGGAAAGAATTAAAACTATATTAATTAATCAGAGTCTAATCATTTGCCAAGGAAAGCAACTTCCTAGCCCATGGAATTGCTATTTTGCTACAAATCAGAATGGCTATAAGCCAGGCACTGGTGGCTCACGCCTGTAATCCTAACTACTCAGGAGGCTGAGATCTAAGGATGGTGGTTCAAAGCCAGCTCAAGCAGGAAAGTCCATGAGCTCTTATATCCAGTTAACCACTAGAAACCTGGAAATGAAGCTGTGGCTCAAAGTGGCAGAGCAAAAAAGCTCAGGGACAGGGCATAGCAGGTCCTGAGTTCAAGCCCTACGACCAACAAAAAAGAAAAAGAAAAGAAAGCCTCATGTTACAAACTCATTTTACTTAGAATTTTGTCCACTACTCCACTCAGAGAAATTATAAGATAAAAATTATTCCACTTGGAGTGGCGCTGTGGCTCAAGTGGTAGAGTGCTAGCCTTGATCAGAAGAGCTGTGGAACAGCGCCCAGGCCCAGAGTTCAAGCCCCACAGCCGACCAAAAGAGAAAAAAAATTATTCCACTTGTCAACAACACTTACCTGAATGCATTCCTTCTGAATATTAACTTTACATCCCATTTCTAATGAATCAAACTCTTTTTTTTCTAAGTCTTAAGGAAAAGTAACTTCTATAGAATGTAACTATTCACAGAAAGTTTGATTTCATACCTTGGTATCTGAATGTAGATGAATTAGCCCTTCAGATGACAACAGGCCTCTACAGACCAAAAATAAACATTAATACTAGATGACACAAAGCTGAGACACCATGAAATTCAATAGAACTGTTAAAAGCAAAATGCACAACTATTGCTCTAATTCTCATCAGTCATTTGCTAATCTGATCTCTCTATAATAGGTTCCTATATAAATTTTGTATAGAAATATACTTCTATAATTACTTTTAATAAAGCATGTATATGAACAGAGCTATGTTTTGCTATGTTTCTGATTCTTCGTGTTAATTTATTTGAAATAAATTAGTCATTAAAAAGTGCTTCAATTAAATAATTCACTCCTGAAAAGAAACATTGTGTGAATGGGTTTTTTTGGTCATGGGGCTTGAACTCTGGGCCTGGACACTGTCCTTGTGCTCTTCAGCTCAAAGTGAGTATTCTACCACTGGAGCCACAGTGCCACTTTTGGTCTTCTGGTGGTAAAGTGGAGATAAGAGTCTCATGGAAAGCCGGGCGCTGGTGGCTCACGCCTGTAATCCTAGCTACTCAGGAGGCTGAGATCTGAGGATCGCGGTTCAAAGCCAGCCCGGGCAGGAGAGACTGTGAGACTCCTATCTCCAATAAACCACCAGAAAACCGGAAGTGGCTTTGTAGCTCAAGTGGCAGAGCGCTCGCCTTGAGCTGAAGAGCTGAGGGACAGCGCCCAGGCCCAGAGTTCAAGCCCAACGACTGACAAAAAAAAAAATTAAAAAAAAAAAAAAAAAAGAGTCTCATGGACTTTCCTTGCCTGTGCTGGCTTTGAACCACAATCCTCAGATCTCAGCTTTCTGAGTAGCTAGGATTACAGGCATGAGCCATCAGCGCCCGGCTTTGTATGAATATTGGGGGTTTTTTTTGTTGATGTTGTTTTTGCCAGTCCTAGGTCTTGTACTCAGGGCCTGGGCACTGTCCCTGAGCATCTTTTGCTCAAGACTAGCACTCTACCACTTGAGCCACAGCTCCACTTGCAGCTTTTTCTATTTATGTGGCACTGAGGAATCAAACCCAAGGCTTCATGTACGCTAGGCAAGCACTCTACCACTAAGCCACGTTCCCAGCTCTGTGTGAATGTTTTTAATAGAAAAGTGGGACACTAGTTTTAGTGAACAGAATTTTTTGGGGGGGGGTCCGGTCGTGGGGTCTGAACTCTGGGCCTGGGCGCTGTCCCTCAGCTCTTCAGCTCAAGGCTAGCGCTCTACCACTTGAGCCACAGCACCACTTCCGGCTTTTTTCTTTTTGCTTATGTGGTGCTGAGGAATCGAACCCAGGGTCTCAGGCATGCAAGGCAAGCGCTCTACCTTCCCAGCCCCAAAGTAACCCATTCTTAAAATGAGTGACCACCAGGCTTTTGATGGTAGGCACTCTCGATGTAAGTGTTCTGCAGCTACAGTGATTGCAGCTTTTGCTCCCAGGTACACTGTGAACAGGAAGGCAGGCGTCAGGATCGGGCCTTTCTGTGTGATGCCTAAAACCTGGCAGGGCATGACATGTAGAAAGTCTTACACAGGAATTAAGTAAAAGTATATTGAATAAATGGATCCATCTAATTCAAATTCTTATGCATATCTTCTTTTACATTTTCTTTTTTTTTGTCGGTCATGGGGCTTGAACTCTGGGCCTGGGCACTGTCCCTCAGCTCTTCAGCTCAAGGCAAGCGCTCTACAGCACCACTTCTGGTTTTCTGAGTGGTTTACTGGAGATAAGAGTCTCACAGACTTTCCTGCCGGGGCTGGCTTTGAACCACGATCCTCAGATCTCAGCCTCCTGAGCAGCTAGGATTATGAGTGTGAGCCACCGGCTTACATTTTTTAAATAATTTGTAGTTTACAAGTATTTATGAGAGGCTGTGGACGATGGCACACGTGAATCCACCACATGCAGCAGTGGCTGTGTGCTCTTGCCAGGCAGCAGTGGAGAGTGGTAGTGAGCCGGACTGTTGGCCCATGAATCCAGAAACAATAGTGCTTTACAAAAGTTTGCCTACCTCTCATCAGTGGTCTACAGCATCTACATTCCTATCTTAGAAAACAGGCCACATAGGCTGGGAAGGTGGCTCAGTGGTAGAGCTCTTGCCTTGCATGCCTGAGGCCCTGGGTTCGATTCCTCAGCACCACATAAGCAGAAAAAAAAAAAAAAGGCAGAAGTGGTGCTGTGGCTCAAGTGGTAGAGCGCTAGCCTTGAGCTGAAGAGCTGAGGGACAGCGCCCAGGCCCAGAGTTCAGGCCCCATGACCGGACCAAAAAAAAAAAAAAGAAAAAGAAAACAGGCCACAGTAGTAGCAAGGCATTCCATCACACTCCCCATACCCACATCTGCACAACCTCATCAGCTAAGATATACAACTGCTACCTGTGTCCTTAGGGTTTCACGGGGATAAGATTCGGTATCATACTCCTATGTAAATGGAGTGTCACAGTATTCTGCTGACTTCTGTGAAACCTCTCTAGGAAGGCCTTTTTAAATCAGAAATGCTCTGCAGGTGAGCCTTGCTTCCAGCAGACTGGAGGACGTGTAAGATACTACAGGAAGGTAGATATTTTCTGAGAGTAAGCGTGGTTGTGAACCTAGGACGGGCATGCTGCCTGTGATTGGTGTCCAGGTGTGTCACAGTCCCAGCCTGAAATGGATGAGATCTTTACAGAACAGACCCCCATCTTCATCTTCCCCATGGATAATCAAGTGTCATATTCCACACAGTGACAGTGACCTGGACAAACAGTAGCGTGAAGAACTCCACCTGACTCGGGAAAAGAGAGATGTCCTCACCATTGCTTGCTTTTGTGCCAGTCCTGGGGTTTGAACTTAGGACCTGGGCACTATCCCTAAGCTTTTTTACTCAAGGCTACTGCTTTACCACTTGAGCCACAACTCCACTTCTGGCTTTCTGGTGGTTCTTGGAGATAAAAGCTTCAACAAACTTTCATGATCCTCAGATCTTAGCCTACTGAGTGCCTAGGATGACAGGCGGTGAGCCACAGGCATCTAGCTTGTTTCTATTTTTGACTTTTCCAGAATGTCAAACACTATAATGAGCCCCATAACGACATTTTGGACCAAAGATTGGCCTCATACAGCAGTTTCACAGGATTATCGCAGCTGAGAAATGTGCACCACCCAGAAAAGCCACACTCTGCCTGAAGTTCCCATGGCTGGAACTGCCCAGCCTTGAGCTCCCAGAGCACAGCCCGTCATCAAACATGCGTGGCAATAGACACTGTATACATTTGAGTCTGGAGCCCTTCACCTAGCATCACGCTGCCATTGCACCAGTGGTCCACCCCTGTGTAATGCCCAATAGTCCATCTTATACATACGCCATAAGTAGTTCATCCACTTACCATTTCATGAACATTTGAGGCAATTATGAATAAAACTGCTATAAACATTTATATGCAAGTTTGTCTTTTAATGTCTAAGATGAATGTCTAGGACAGGACTCACTAGATGAAGCGCAATAGCTAGTTCTTAATGAATGAATAATGTCCTTGTATTTCAAGTATAAAACCAGTTAAGTGCCACTTTAGTAACATTCCTTTTTTGTTTCTGAGCTCAGCAAGTTGTTCAAATAATACACCCACCTAGTGCCACGCAGATCTCATCTTCTGCTTTTTGACTTTAAGACACTGAAGAGTTATAAGAGTTAGGCACCTACAAACAAATTTAATCCATAAGGGGTTTTTTTGCTGACATATATCTCCAAAAATTAGTAAATCCCTTACCTATCTGATCTAGTTGGTGCCATTTTTGTAACTCCAGTTCATCCCAAGACTGTAATTCTTTTTTTTTTCTTTTTGCTGGTTCTGAGCTTGAACTCAGGGCCTGGGCACTGTCCGTGAGACTCTGTGCTCAAGGTTAGCACTGTACCACTTGAGCCACAGCACCACTTCTGGCTTTTTCTGAGTAGTTTACTGGAGATAAGAGTCTCACAGAGTTTTCTGTCTAGGTTGGCTTCAAGCCACAATCCTCAAATTTCAGCCTCCTGAGTAGCTAGGATTACAGGTGTGAGCCACCAGCGCCCAGCTATAATTCTTTACGGTACAGAAGTCTCCTTACCTGCCAAAGACACGTCCCAGGCCCTGGCCCCAAACAATGGCAGCGACATACATCTACATATATGTATACATAGATGATTACGGTTTCACTTATATAGCAGCACAGGAAGAGACTAACAACAAATAACTGTGATAAAATAAATTATGTAACAAGAGACTATAAGAAGCTGTGAGACAAATTAAGATGAGAGAGTCAGAGACGAGTCTAATGGTGTGTGTCTCCTGTACAACTAGTGAACCCTTAACAAAATGAAACATACTTTTGGGGAGAGAATAGGAGAGGACACACCAAATGGAGGAGGGTGGGCAAATGCAGTCATTGTGTTCAAAGTATGCTATAAATGTAATGAGGGTATGGATAGGGTTGGGCAAAATGGGAGAGTGGAGTTGAGATCTCTTTGTGTAGGCTGGGATGTGGCTTAGTGGTAGAGTGCTGGCCTAGCATGAATGAAGCCCTGGGTTTGATTCCTGAGTACCACATAAACAGACAAGGCCGGAAGTGGTGCTGTGACTCAAGTGGTAGAGTGCTAGCCTTGAGCAAAAGAAGCTCAGAAACAGTCCCCAGGCCTGGAGTTCAAGCCCCTGGACTGGATCTAGCTACAGTTTTAAACATTAAAAACTATCCTTATATATATATTTAAAAATAGAAACATAAAAACCGTCCCATTATTCCTGGGATGACACCGGACAGCACAATGAGTCCTGAATGGAGTGAGCGGCAGGCGCCGGCCCTGTGACACACTGGCAGGCTACACATTCCTTCTCCTGGAGCACAAGCAGTGCGCGCTGACCACAGCTGTGGGAGCTAACACATGCTCCATGACTGGCCAATGGGGGGACACACGAGACACAGAGCTGACGCTTTCAGGCAGCAGGGAGGGAGCCTTAAACTTCAGCAAGCTGCTCACACCAGGGTGTGATTTTAACTTTCTAAATTGTCTAGTTCTGGAAGCTTCCAACGGCAATTGTGAGACATGGAATGAATGGTTAGTGATCACTATTACCTCTACGACAGTAAGCTTCTGTGATGTTATTCAGGTGATCCTGAACTTTTCCTGTTAAATCTGTTCCTAAATTGCTTGGCATGTGAGTTTACACGATGTTCATGTAATGTCTTTACTAATTTATGTCATCTTCACACACGATCATAAAAGGTAGAATAGTGTCTGCAAGCAAATTTAGGAAACATATCAACCGTGGTCCAATCCTCCTTGAAACAACATTTTCTACCTGTTCCTGAGCAAACTACTGAACTTCCATAATCTGTAGTTGTTTTTTTTTTTTGTTGTTGGTCGTGGGGCTTGAACTCTGGGCCTGGGCACTGTCCCTCAGCTCTTCAGCTCAAGGCGAGCGCTCTACCACTTGAGCTGCAGCGCCACTTCCGGTTTTCTGGTGGTTTATTGGAGATAGGAGTCTCACGGTCTCTCCTGCCTGGGCTGGCTTTGAACTGCAATCCTCAGATCTCAGCCTCCTGAGTAGCTAGGATTACAGGCGTGAGCCACCAGCGCCCGGCTTTTTTTTTTTTTTTTTTTTTAATGAGGACAGTATTTAGTTTGCAATAATACTTTGAAGGCTACATGAAGTAATGTGGGTAGAGTACTTGTACATGACTAGTAAAAGCTTTTAATTATTATTTTATCTATGATATTATTTTTCTTCAAATTAGTTTTTTAACATTTGCAGGGAAGAAGATCCACACATACCACTGAACTTAAAAATACCACCAGAGTGGGCACCAGTGGCTCACATCTGTAATCATAGCTACTTAGGAGGCAGAAAGCTGAGGATCACAGTTCAAAGTTAGCCTAGGCAGCAAAGTCCATGAGACTCTTCATCGCCAGTTAACCAACAAAAGCTGAAAATGGAGCTGTGGCTCAAAGTGGGAGAGTACAAAAGCTCAGAGACAGTGCTCAGGCCCTGAGTTCAAGTCCCAGGTTCAGCACACAGACAAAAAAAAAAAATAGTAATGGTAGTTACCATTGTACTCACCTTGAACTGGCATTTCCTTCTTCAGAAGATTTGATGTGTGTTGATAAAGGCTGAGATTGTATTTCCTGTTGATCTCTCTAGTTAAATGAGTAAGAGTGACTCATATGTACCACCACAAACACTAGACAATCCTAGAATCTACACAAGCCCTCATTGCCCAGGCTCCTCACCCCCTATGATGACAAAGCACTGAATTAGAAATGCTACACAGGAGAAGGAAGTCCTGCTGACCCCAGTTTTGCTCTATTGAGTCAACTATCATTGAGTCCACTTTTATTTAGAACTCATTTTATTTCAAATATCCTTATTGAATTATCAGCATTAATTCTAGAGATACGCTTAAGTATTAATATTTTGGTGTGAGAAAATATTGTTAATATTAATGTCCTTATTAAATCTAAGTGGAAAACATTTTCCAGTGGCTTTTAGAAAATGTATGTCTACCAAAAGCAGGATATATATATGAATGTTCAGCTTGTGGTCATGTGTTCAGCTAAATGTTTATGCTTTGGGTACTTTGGGGTGTGACATATTGGGTACTCTTGTATATGTATGTTATACATTAAATTACAAAGTTAAAAAGGGTGATGATAGCTCACATCTGTAATCCTAGCTACTCAGGAGTGTGAGATCTGACGAGTAGTTTGAAGCCAGCCTGGGCAGGAAAGTTCATGAGACGCTCATCTCCAAATTAAGCAACAAAAAAGCCAGAAGTGGAGCTCTGTCTCATGCGGTAGAGTGCCAGCCATAAGCTGGGAAAAGCAAGGGACAGCACCTTGTCTCTGAGTTCAAGCCCCAGGACCAGTACAAAAAAAAAAAAAAAGTGGGCTACAATGCTTGATAAGAAATGTACTCATAGGGCTGGGAAGGTGGCTCAGTGGTAGAGCGCTTGCCTTGCATGCATGAGGCCCTGGGTTCGATTCCTCAGCACCACATAAGAAAAAAGAAAAAAAAAGCCGGAAGTGGCGCTATGGCTCAAGTGGTAGAGCGCTAGCCTTGAGCTGAGGGACAGCACCCAGGCCCAGAGTTCAGGCCCCACGACTGGACCCAAAGAAAAAGAAATGTACTCATTATCTTGCCCATGTAATTGTAACCCTCTGTACAATATTTTCACAATAAAAAAAAAAGTTTAAAACTTTGCACCCACAGGGAATACCAGTGTATTTACTTACTAGTACTTCCTCAGCTTGCTGAACCAGACGAGCTGTTTTGGCCTCCAATTCTGCATTCAAACGCCTAAAAACAGAAAAGCAATAATTGCGTTAAGCTGAAATCCCAATAAAAAATAAACGTCAGCAATAACAAGTTACTAAGTAATCTAATCAACACACTAGAAGATACACATGACGTTTTTATCCAAACAGGAACACAATGATCAGTACTCATCTCTGACTTATGCAAGTCTTCCTACCTGTGCAGGAACTGGCAGGACAAGTCTTGGCCATTCCACGGCCTTAGCCCAGGCCTTCAACGGAAGTGACTTAGCTGAGGAAAATTTAGGAGGAAGAAAGTGGGTGTGCTTAACTTTTCCTGCCCAGGCTGGCTTCAATCTGTGGTACTCAGATCTCAGACTCCTGGTGGCTAGGATTTCAGGTATGAGCCACCAGTGCCTAGCCTTATGGTTCTTTTGAAGTTATAAAAAGCTGACAAGTCAAAAAAAAACTTGTTTTTTCAGGCAGGTGAATCAGAAGTAACATGATCACCTCCATCTCCATGCTCAGGTTGCCTTAATAGTTTGATGGTTTAAGAAATATACTTTATGTATATATACATTTTCTTGATCCATTCATCTACTGACAGGAATCTGGGTTAATTCCATATCTTAGGTATACAATGGAATTCTATGCTTCTATCAGAAAGAGAATCTTATCGCCCTATTCATTAAGGAAACGGAAAAAATCATATTAAGTGAAGTAAGCCATACCAAAAGAAACATAGGCTCCATGGTTTCCCTCATTGGTAATAATTAGTATATGCCTAGGACAGTCCTAGCAGAAAATTACAATAGCTCAATAGCCATGTATGACCATATAAAATGATGTTAATCGAAATGAACTCCAAGATGTAGAAACAAGAGGTTTTTGTTGCTTTTGGGGTACTGTTTGCAGTTATTTCTTTTTGCTGTCATATTTTTCCTTTGGTTTATTCCCTGCTTTTTATTTCCGCACCTTTTGTCTTGTATAGAAGTTTATCTGATTTGGAGAAGGGGAAAGGAATCACAGAAACCATTGGACCAAGCGTGAACCGATGCAACAGCAATACTCACCAAGACACTATGTTGGAAATAAACTTTACAATTTGAGGGGGAAGAGAGTCAGAGGGGAAGGGAAAGCAGGAGAAAACAAGGGAGGGGGAATACTGTTCAAAAATAAATGTACTCATCACCCGACTTATGTAACTATAACTCCTCTGTACATCACCTTTAGAATAAAAACTAAAAGGTTGCTTGGTTAAAAGAACAATAAGGCCAGGGGCCGGTGGCTCATGCCTGTAATCCTAGCTACTCAGGAGGCTGAGATCTGAGGATCATGGTTCAAAGCCAGCCTGGGCAGGAAAGTCCATGTGAGACTCCAATAAACCACTAGAAAACCGGAAGTGGTACTGTGGCTCACCTTGAGCTGAAGAGCACAGGGACACTGCCCAAGTCCAGGGTTCAAGCCCCACGACCGACAACAACAAAAACAAAAAGCACAATAAGAAAAGCTTGTTACGTTGGTCTATATTCTCCCCTCTTCTCTTTATTCATTTACCCTTTTCCCATTGACCCCACCCCACCCCACCCCCTTCCAAGTATCTGCTTCTGGTGTTTTCTTTTGCTGAACTTTAATTTGCCTTTCTAAGGAATTACACTATTTGAGATCTCACATGAATGTACCATATTTTAGTTAATACGTTTGTATATATACTTGCACACCACCCAATGTATTTACTTCTAAGTTTATAAGCTACATCTAGCTTCTACATATAAGAGAAAAGGGGTAGGTAGATGATAAATGAGTGAGAATGTACAAAGGGGTGACACTGCTTTGTTAGATGACAACTCCTTTGTACAGCTAAAGACAATCATTTTAAAAATGATCCAAAGATCAAGGTTCAAAGCCAACCATGGCAGGAAAGCTCAGGAGACTCTTTTCCTCCAATTAACCACCCAAAAAAAGCCAGAAGTGGAGTTGTGGTTCAAGCGGTAGTGTGCTGGCCTTGAACAAAAAAAACTTAGGGACAGCCTTCAGTTTAAGCCCCAGAATGAGCACACACACAAAAACAAAACAAAACAAAAACACCACTGGTAAGCCAGACTCACTCAGAAGTGTCCTGGCACTGAGAATAAACAATTCAAATAAGAGCAGTAAATAGGAACAGAAGCCAAACAACTTAGCAGCCAGAAGCTGATGCCCTTGTGAGTGCCATGAGTTACGGAGAGCCACATCTGTAGAACCTTTGCCCATAGCCTGGAGGAGTGAAATGCAGCCAGAGGAGTGATGGAAGACTGCCTAGAGTAACTTAGACATATGGGTGGCAACACAAGACACTCAGGAACTCACATTCTTGCCTAGAAAAATGGATGCACATTCTACTCTTCCGCACATCACAGGCCTAGCCAGAGTTGCTCTGCTCCTCCACCTCAGACAGGCAAGCCTCAAGAGTACAGATAACTACCAACTGTCTCCACCACAAAAACGCAGCAACTAGAGTATTTTCAGGCAGGGTTCTAATAAGCCCAATGATGGACCAGAGCAGCTGCAAGACATGTGTACATATAACCAAACAGTTCACCTACTGTATGCAGGTATTTAATTCTATCTGGTACTTGATAGTGAAAATAATTGTTTTGGCAACTGGGAGCATAATTCAAACTCTAGTAACACTAAATAACAACAAAATACACAAAGAAAACAACTATTTTGGTTCCAGCACAAAGGAACAACAGATCTGGTTGCATAAATGCAGTTTTCATCTTGGTAACAAGACTGATTTGAACACAGAGGGGCAGCAGGCATTCTCTTCCTGGGCAAGTTGGCTTGTGTGTACTTTACTTTAAAAACCATACAGTAGGTACCAGTGGCTCACACCTGTAATCCTAGCTACTCAGGAGGCTGAGAACTGAGAATCACAGTTTGAAGCCAGCCCCAGCCCGGGCTGAAAAGTCTCTGTGAGATTCTTACCTCCAATTAACCACTCAAAAACCGGAGTGGAGCTGTAGTGCACTAGCCTTGATCAAAAGACCTCAGGGACAATACCCAGGCTCTGAGTTCAAGCCCAACAACTGACAACAAAGAAAAAGAAAGAAAAGTAACCTAAGTGGTTTACTATAACAAACCATGCTAATTGCAAAGAAAAATGAACAAAACAATAGAAAAGCTCAGCAAGGAAGTCTCTCAAAGAAGGACACTCAGGAAGAGCTGGTCATTTCCCTGGAGAAAAAGAAAAGCTTGCAGAAATGAAGGACTAACAGGTTTTTAAGCAATAAAGGATAGGAGATCCGGCTGTCAAGATCTTGAAGGGGAACAGGAAAGCATTTTGGCTTCTTTTTTTTTTTCTTTCTTTTGTTGCTTTGTGCTAGTCCTAGGGCTTGGGCACAGCGGGGCCTGGGAGCCGTTCCTGGGCTTTTTCACTCAAGGCTTGAGCTCTACCACTTGAGCGCCAGCCCAGTGTCTGGCTTTTTGGAGCTTCATTGGAGATAAGAGTCTCATGGACTTTCTTGCCCTGGCTGGCTTGGAACCTGACATCCTCAGCTGTCAGTCTCCTGGGTACCTAGGATTACAGGTGTGAGCCACCTAGGCCCGGCTCGCTCTCGGCGTTTGATGGAATGGAATAACGTGACCAAATCTAAAGATCACCCTGGCGGCTGCGAATGAGAGGCATGGAAGCTCACCAAAAAGCACTTTTTTTTCAGGAAGAGTTGCTAATCACACTGAGAACGCAAACTCCCGCAGCTCCTTTCCCCAAACCTGATTCCTGTCTCCCCACCCCCCTACCTCCCACCCCACCCCCCCCCCCCAAAAAAAATGCTTTCCATTTAGAAAACAAAAAAGCACCTTTTTTTTTTCTTTTTTTGCCTAAAACTTTGCAGCTGGTTTGCTCTTCATTTCCTGGGGCGGGGGGGGGGGGGGGGGGGGAGGGGAGGGGTGAGAGGGGGAGGGGAGGTAGCACCCGAAAGTACCCAACGACCACTTCCAGGAGCTTGAAACTGACCACACGACTCTACAGTCATTCATTCATTCACTCATTCATTCCTACCCGTGAGACCTGAGATCGAAGTCGCCTTTTGCAAAACCTTTCCTGCGGCTGACCACGGTCTTTGACAAGCGTCGCTCAGTCATTTCTCTCCCTCCCTCCCCACTGACCCCCCCTCCACCCCCCACCCCACCCCACCCCTCCCCCCCACACCCCCCCACACACACTTCCAGGCATGGGCCGCGCCATTCACAGGTGAAAAAGATCAAGGGGGGCTCTGGGGGAAGGAGAGAGCTTCCCAAGAAAGAAAAAGGGAAAGAGTCGCGATCATGAAGGAAGCCGGGAGGCGGCGGCGGAGGGAGGCGGGGGCCGCGGTCCTCACTTGTATTCTTCCTCCTTGGCCAGCAGGTCCAGGCGCGGGGCCGCGGGCCGCGCAGCCCGGGGCGCGAGCCGAGGCCCGGGAACGCCGCCTCTCTGCAAAACAGGCAGAATCGTTCACAGACCGCCAACTGGACGGAGCCTCAACCCACCACGCCGCCCGCAGGCGGGAGTCTGCCATTCAGACTGACCCGAGCCCCGCGGCTCCGTCCCTCCATCTTGACGCGACGCGGTTACCTAGGCGACAGCGCATCCTCGCGTATCTTCTCGCGGGAGTTTCCAGCAGCCTCCCGCCAAACTAGACCCACTTCAGGCTCGTGAGCCCAGAGCTGAGGCTCTGCCATCTGGTGGTAGAGATGTAGTACTACACGGATTGAGGATTGAGCTCTGGAGCCTGGTATATATTCAATTTGAGGGTGACAAGGTGTCAATCAAGGCAGGCGGGTCTGTTTATATCTAAGTATTAGTAATCAGTTGGTAGGTCTATTTCTAGGTAATAATTAGGGAAGCTCCCTACCCTGCTGTGCTTTCCCAAATAGAAGTAGCCAATCCTACCTCATTTGTTTTGTTGGAAATGCACTTAAGGGTTTGGTCCCAAAGTTCTCATTGCCAACATTTACAGCATGACTAAGATATTAACTTGGGCACCGGTGGCTCACATCTGTCATCCTAGCTACTCAGGAGGCTGAGATCTGAGGAACACAGTTGGGAGCCACAATAAGCAGGAAAGTTCAGGAAACCACCACAGAGTCAGAAGTGGAACTGTGCCTCAAGTGGTAGAGCACTAGCCTTCAATGAAAAAGCTCAGGGATAGTGCCCAGAACCTAAGTTCAACTTCTAATACCAGCACAAATAAAGAAATAAATATACTGTGAATGTCACCATCAAGAGACTATGTTGGAGACAGACTCCACCTTACAAGAAGATCAGTGCCGGTGACCTGCAGACAAAAAAAAAAAGTACATCCCTCTCAGCACAACACAGCCAAAATAGAAGAATTCTTTGCAGTATTGAAGGAAAAATCTCCTGACTAAAATATAGACACTGATGCCAGCTCTGGGTAGCTCAAGTATTATTTGTTACACACTATGAAAATGAGTCCAAGAATCTGTGAGGTCTTCTGAAGTCTTAAAAAACAATGCATCAGGGCTGGGAAGGTGGCTCAGTGGTAAAGTGCTTGCCTTGCATGCATGAGGCCCTGGGTTCCATTCCTCAGTACCACATAAGCAGAAAAAGCCAGAAGTGACACTGTGGCTCAAGTAGGTAGAGCACTAGCCTTGAGCTGAAGAGCTGAGGGACAGCACCTAGGCCCAGAGTTCAGGCCCCATGACTGACCAAAAAAGCAAAACAAAACAATGCAGCAGAAACTGCATTGGCTGATGTGGAGCCAAATGTTCAATGTGGATGAAACTTTTAGATACTACTGAGGCCTTTCATCTATAAGGAGGCTGAATCAATGCCCAGGTTCTCTGTGTGTGTGGGTGTGGGTGTGGTTGTTGGGGGTGGGGGGTACATGATCTAAAGCTTGAACTCATGGTCTGGGCACTGTCCCTGAGCTTTTATGCTCAAGACTAGCTTCTTCTTTTCCCAGTCCTGGTGCTTTAACTCAGGGTCTGGGTGCTGTCCCTGAGTTTGTTGTTGGTTTTGTTTTCCTCAAGGCTGGTGCTCTACCACTTGAGCCACAGCTCTGCTTCCAGCTTTTGGTAGTTAACTGGAGATCAGAATCTCAAAGGCTTTCCTCCCCAAGCTGGCTTCGAACTTCGATCTTCATATCACAGCCTCCTAATTAGCTAGGCTTACAGGCATGACCATCTTACTTCAACAGTTTTTAATCTACTGCTAAATTCTTCCCATACCTGTCACATAACATCTGTATACAAAATACTAATTTAAATTCAGCTTAGCTTGCTTCTTTCTTTCAAGGTAGGAGAACAACTTTTAAGAAAAAGAAACTTCCTGATTTTTTTTTGTTAATAACATAGCTTTGTTATTTTGACATGAATTCTTTAGATGTCAGACTCACCTATATTCAAATGTAAGGGCAAAAGCACTTTGAAGACAAATTTAATTTATTTCTAAATTACTCAACCTCTGCTTCTACCAATACAGACAACTGCAGTGAAAAGAGATACAAATTTTGGCTGGCAATTAATTTTTTATAGGAGTTGGCAAATGCTATAGCTAAAAGAGATAAGATGTGCACTTATTAATAATTCTTTTTCAATGTTGCCTTTAAAATAACTTGAAATTTGGGTCATAATGAGTGATTCTTGAAACATCCCCAACTAATTTTAATGCTCCAGCTTAAATAAGGCTGAAACACAATGGCTTCATCTTGAAAATTTGACAACGAAATTGATACTAATTAAAGCAACTTGAGCAATTTTCCTAGGGCTCTCAAACAAAACGGAACTCGAAACCCGGCAACAAATTAAAATGTCTGTCACAAAATTAGGTAATTAGAAGATCTTAAAAGAAGCATGCATACAATAAAGCAGAAAGCAGGTAGTTTTACAAGATATTCTATGTGGAATATATATTCATGTGAACATTTTAGAAGATTTAATGCCTGGGTGTATTTAGCAGGGCTGATGTATATAGCAGCTTGGCTCTGAGGTATACTGGGACCTAAACTGGGGCTGAGACAGGAAGAGAAATTACCCAGTTATAAGTTGTGTCATGGAATAGCAAGGTTGAGTTCAAATGGAGAATTCACCATCCATTCAAACTGGCATTGGAATTGGGCCTATTCCAATGGACAGAGGAAAACAAGAGAATAGAAGATGAGCTGGGTGCAGGTAGTTCACACCTGTCATTCCAGCTACTCAGAAGGCTGAGCTCTGAGGATCTTGATTCAAAGCCAGCCTAGGCAGGAAAGCCCAAGAGACTCTTATCTCCACCACCAAAAAAGCCAGAGGTGGAGCAGTGGCTCAACTGGTAGAAGGCTAGCATGAGCAAAAACAAAAATCAGGGACAGTGCTCCAGCTTGGGTTTTTGTTTTGTTTTGTTTTGTTTTTTGTTTTGTTTTGTTTTTGTCAGTCATGGAGCTTGAACTCTGGGCCTAAATGCTGTCCCTGAGCGTATCAGCTCAAGCCTAGCATTCTACCACTTGAGCACAGCATCACTTCCAGCTTTTTCTGTTTATGTGGTGCTGAGGAATCGAACTCAGTGCCTCATGCATCTAAGGCCAGCACTCTACCACTGAGCCACCTTCCCAGCCCTAGCCTGTTTTTTTTTTTTTTGCTAGTTAATTGGAGATGAAAAAACCTCATGGATTTTTCTGTCTGGGCTGACTTTGAGCCACAATCCTATAATCTTAACCTTCTGCATAGTTAGGATTAAATCCTTTTGTACAATAATTTACACTAATAATTTTTAAATTTAAAATTAAGAAAAAGAAACAGTTTATTATTATGGAATAAAATAATGTCATTTATTACCAGTTAAGCAACTATTTATATATATTTATATATCTTTTAAATTTTTATTAATATTTTTTATGTGGTACTGAGGAATTGAGCCCAGGGCCTCATGCATGTTATGCAAGTAGTCTACAACTAAGCCACATTCCCAACCCTAAAATATATATTTATGTATACAGTGTAAACAAGCTTAATATGAATATTACATACCTCACCATTGTGGTGTTCTAACACCAATCATTCCTTTGTGTGTGATGTGTGTGCTGGTCGGTCCCTTAGCTTTTTCTTTGCTCAAGGCTAGCACTCTACCACGTGAGCCATAGCTTCACTTCAGGTGTTTTGGTGGTCAAATGGAGATAAGAGTGTCTCAGACACCGGGCTCTGGTGGCTCACGCCTATAATCCTAGCTACTCAGGAGACTGAGATCTGAGGATCACGGTTCAAAGCCAGCCCGGGCAGGAAAGACTGTGGGACTCCTATCTCCAATAAACCACCAGAAAACCAGAAGTGGCGCTGTAGCTCAAGTGGTAGAGTGCTTGCCTTGAGCTGAAGAGCTGAAGGACAGCGTCCAGGCCCAGAGTTCAAGTTCAAGCCCCACGACTGACAAAAAAAAAAAAAAAGAGTGTCACAGAGTTTTTTGCCTGGGCTGGCTTTGAACCTCCATCCTAAGATCTCAGCCTCCTGAGTAGTTAGGATTACAGGTGTGAGCCACCAGCGCTTGGCTTTAATCCATCTTTTCTTAATGGGTATTAAAGAAATCTTCAGATCATGTCTCTCCTTGTGAGTCTCTGTATTGGTTCATTTGTGTCTTCTTTTTACTCTCCGAATGTAGTATACATATTATCCCAGTTCTTAAGCTAATCCTTAATGAAACAGACGTTTTGTTTAACATCTGCCACTACTCAAATTCCAATGTAGATTTTCTCTGGATGTTTGGGTCACACCTAGACATTGCCATCATATCTTCTCCCAACTTCTCAACAGCTCTCCTGTCCTCTGGCACCTGACGGCTAGAAAACCAAGCAATGAGGTAGATAACATCAGCCAGGATGATGAAAATGTAGACAAAAATTACCTGAGAGGGGCTGGGAAGGTGGCTCAGTGGTAGAGCGCTTGCCTTGCATGCATGAGGCCCTGGGTTCCATTCCTCAGCACCACATAAGTAAAAAGAAAAAAAAAGCCCGAAGTGGCACTGAGGCTCCAGTGGTAGAGTGCTAGCCTTGAGCTGAAGAGCTGAGGGACAGCACAGGCCCAGGTTCAGGCCCCATGACCGGACCAAAAAAAAAAAAGTTACATGATAAACATAACTTTTGATGATATGAGATTTATATAGGTTCATCATCAGTAAAGCTCTGATGAGAATACGATGTTTTTAAGTTGTATCTTTTTCACTTTTTTTTGGTCAATTGTGGAATTTGAATTCAGGGCCTGGATACTGTCCCTGAGCTCTTTTGCTGAAGGCTAACACTCTACTACTTTGAGCCACAGTACCATCTCTGGGTAATTGCAGATAAGAGTTTCACAGACTTTCCTGCTAAGCTGACTTTGCACCTTCATCCTCAGATCTCAGTCTCCTGAGTAGCTAGGATGACAGGTGTGAGCCACTGACCCTTGGCATCACATTGTTTCTGTTACCAACTTTTCTTTCTAGTAGTTAGTTGCCTGATATACTGATAGATCTCTGTATGTTACTTCAGTTTTGACCTTTTTATCTATCATCTATTTATCATCTATCTATCTATCTATCTATCTAGGCAGTAGTGGGATTTGAACTCAGAGCTTTGTACTTGTTAGCATACTCT